ATTGGCTCTACATCTTGTGGTGCCAAAGTGCAGTCTGTTCAGTGCCTTCCAGGTCACCCAATCTTCTGTGTGCCCAGGGGGGAGTCTCTCATTCTGTAACAGCCATTGATTGAGGTTTCGGGTTTTTACCTGCCACTTTTGAACTCTCGCTTGCTGAGATGTTCCTGTGAGTATCTCTGTAGATCTTAGGAAGCTATTTCTTGATTTAAGGCATTGGCTTGCTGGCTTATATCCAAACAGGATGGGCTGGAGATGTCAATGACTTGGTCCTTTCATTACAGGCTGCTACATTCCTATGGATTTCAGGTGGTGCAATACTGGTTAAACAGTAAAATTTCTTCAGTGGTGTTGGGAGTAGACATCCTGTGATAATGCGGCATGTCTCATTAAGAGTCACGTCCATAGTTTTGACGTGATGTGATGTATTCCACATTGGGCATACGTATTCAGCAGCACAGTAGAAAAGCGCAAGGGTGGATGCCTTCACTGTGTGATCCCCAGGTTGTGCCAGTCAGCTTTCCTATATTATTTCTGGCACCCACTTTTTGCTTGATAGTCAAGCAGTGCTTCTTGTAAGTCAGAGCACCATCCAGGATAACGTCCAAGTATTTTGGCGTGCTACAATGTTCCAGTGGGATTCCTTCCCGGTTAATCCTCAGAGCTTGAGATGCTTATCTGTTCTTAAGAGTTAACAGCTGTGAATATTTATAATTTCTTTGTATGAAGAAGAGTAGCAAAGCGCAAGGGCAGATGTCTTCACTGTGTCTGGTTGTGATCCCCAGGTTGTGCCAGACAACTTTCGTATGATATTATTTCTAGCTGTTGATGTTGAAGATCTAATTCAGTGCATAACTCATTGCATTTATTGTTGTTTTTCCAGTACTCTATTTCACCTTATTTTTGGAGGACAATTTTTTTAATCAGTTTAAAGGATTTAAACAGTTTGTTGTTAATACTATTAATATTTAATTACGTTTTAATGTATTTTTTTAGGTTTTCAATTGTGTTGCATTAGTTTTGTTGAGTCACTTGGAGTCTCTGTTATAGAGAGAAAAAGCAGGGTATGAATCAACATAATAACAATTCAGGATTAATAAGTGAATAGCATAGAACTCAGACAAAATGCCTCCGAAAACAAACTTTGAATAGTAAATTTTGAGAAAAGTGGGAAGTCAGTCCATTAACCACTTTTGTTTATTACTTTGCTGTTAAAAGGTAACCTCATTTAACGCTTGTTACTTCCTAAAGTAACTAATTGCTTGTAACTATATTATTCATGTGACTTTTTATTTCCACTCTCTTCTTAGTTCTGCATTTCCAGCAGCACTCTGGTTTCACCTCCTGTCTGTGTTTATTTTGGACCTTCTTTCTCGCTCCATTGGACTTTGAGGCTTCTTTGTTGCTGTTGTGTATGAACATAATTGTTATCCTTAAGGGCAGATACCTTTAGTGAGAGCAAATAAAACACACAGAGAGAAAGAGATGTAAATAGAGCACCACACAGGGCAGGCATGGAAGTTGCATGATAAGCAGGCAGGAGAATTTGCAGCCGCAAGAGGCCACTGATGGTAATTGGGTTTAATAAAGGATTAAATTGCTGGAGGACTAATAACTTCACGAGCAGTTATGTCTGTTAAGAGAAAAAGATCATTGCGTTGTATGTTGAGGGTCTAATACAATCTCCATGGGTGGGTGCCCAATAAACATTTTCTTCCTTTCTCTATTGCTTGGCACAATAGGACAGGTCAGCCCTACAGAATTCCTGTTGTTCAGGGGAAGTAATATTTTCTGACATGTGGGCAAAACACTACTTATTTATTTTCTCCCACCCACTACTTAAACAGGTAGGTTTGCTTTGCCACCCACTGACAAGTCTTCATAATACAGACCTTGGTTCAGAATAGATTAGAAAGCCTCTAATAGCCAGATTCCTGTGGATAGCTATGTGTGTCTGCTGTCATGAAAGCAACAAACATTAGCAAATAAATTGTAGCATAAGTTTTACAGGCCAGAATCCACTTAGTTCACTGTGTGAAGCAGTTTCCTTCGGTGACTATAGATGGAGATAAATTAAAAAGAAAATGTATGTGGAGTGAAAAAGCAAACTATCCAACAGAAGAAGTTGTGTTACTTTAATAAACTCAGTTATAGGGATGCAAGAAACAGAAATCAATAAACAACGTTGTAAGGAGCACAATCAAGTGCAAAAGCAGGGCTGCAGTTACATGTTAAGGAAACAACAATAATGACTACATATTATTTACACAAATTTGAAGTGGCTAAATAGGACATTAACATTAATCTATATAAATAAAAATGCAATGTTTGTTTGTGGGATTAACATAACTCAAAAACCACTGGGTGAATTGACACCAAATTTGGACACAATACACCTATCAGGCCAATGAGTGACCATCACTCACAAAAACACTGGAAAACACAGCAGAAGAGACTTAAAAAGCCAAAAACCAAAAAATAACATTACAACACATGCACAAAACCACATATATGCACATATACAGAAATATATATACATATATATACACACAAAACATATATACACAGACTGGACCACAGCAACGTTTGGCAGGGGACGGCTAGTTCAAACATAAATTGACATGTAGACTTTAATGAAGAAATCAAAAGACCAGGGATCTTATCACACAATGATGCAATCTGTTTATATCGGTATGCATCACATATTTTGAGGACTGGATGCATACTGTATTGAGATGGGATGCATACTCTCCCTGTCACACCTGATTATTGTGATTCTTGAGATTTGAAAATACTGCACTTAGACTCATCACACCATGGAAGGCTGGCTCCTCCCAATCCATTTGAATACCTCCCTACATCGCTTTTAAGACCTTATCACATTAGTCTTCAGCCTTGCCCTACGACACTTTCAGAATGGAGCCAGGACGGAGCCCATCACATGACTCAGAGCTACTTCTGGCAGGACTTCATCCTACAAGCATCATAGAATGGAGTCCTGAGATCACGGGAGGGTTCCTGTGTTCTCATCCAGTAAGCCAGGGAAAGTGCAGGGGAAGTCAGGCAGTGACACTTTCCCCTGTGAGATGGTGAAGCAGGTGATGTGGGGTGTGGGTCGACAGTGTCCCCCACTGCCCCACAGATGCCCCCACTTTCTCCCTGCTTGAGGACCTCCATCTGATAAGGTCTCTAAATTATTTTTTCTAATATTGCACAGTGATGTAGGCTGGAAGACCTGAACAACAATTCTTGTGAGATTTTAGCCAATGGAATGTATATTGATTTTTCCAACCGCACTTCAAAACAACATCTCAGCAACATAAACGTATATAAAAAAAACATTAGAACCCCATATGCAATTACTCAATTTCTGTGATGTGTTGCAGATGAATGAACAGGGGAAATCTTATGTGACATGACGCATTAGGAACTGTGTTCAAAGACTCTCAAAAATGGAGTACATTCCATTTGATAAGATCCTAAGACTTGGAAGACCAGCTATGAAGGAACGAGATATGATTCTCAAGTGTAAAGCTATATCATTCAAAGTCAGAATCACCCAGTCCATAGTATTTCATAGGTCTATGTCTAATCGTAAAAAAAAAAATCAACTCATTTGAAGTTTTTTTTTTGTCATGTCAGGAGTGACTTGAGAAACTGCAAATCGCTTCTGGTGTGATAGAATTGGCCGTCTGCAAGGACGTTGCCCAGGGGATGCCCGGATGATTTGATGTTTTTATCATCTTGTGGGAGGCTTCTCTCATGTCTCCGCATGAGGAGCTGGAACTGATAGAGGGAGCTCATCCGCCTCTCCCCGGATTCGAACCTGCGACCTGTCGGTCTTCAGTCCTGCCAGCACAGGGGTTTAACCCATTGCGCCACCGGGGGCTCATTTGAAGTGTGAAGCTGGAAAAGAGTTGGCAAATACTTAGACCACTAAAGTTAATAGGTCGTAGAGTAAATCAATCTTGAGCTCTCAGTAGAAGCTAAAATGACCTTTTGCAAATTCATCAATGTTATGATTCATAAGAAAGATGATTATATATGTGTGTGTTCTGTTTGTTTTTAGTGACCTCATAACTCAAAAACCGCTGGATGAATTGCCACCAAATTTGGCCACAAGACACCTACTAATTCAAGGAGTGACCATCACTCAAAAAAAAAACACCAAAAAACAGCAAAAGGGACTTAAAAACCCCCAAAACAAAAAAATATGTTAAAATCCATGCGCGAATCCCCCACCCCCCATGCATGAAGGAAAACCAATGCACCAAGGAAACGGGGGCGGGGAGGAGAGAAGGAAAGAAGTAGAGAAAGGGGGAGGGAAGGAAGAAAAAAAGAGAAGGAAGGATGGGACCAAAGAGTGAAGGAAGAAATGAAAGAAAGATGTAGAGAAGGAAGAAAGGAGAGAAAGCAGAAGGGAAAGAAAAAGGGGACAAGGAATAGGTATGTACCTCTCTTTCATAATAGTCCAGACAGCTACCTCTACTTCAAAATTTCTTACTATAGGCCACAGCAATGCATGGCAGGGCATGGCTAGTGTTTAGTAAAGTCGGAGACAGTAGGAAGAGTGGAAGAGTGCATTTAAGGTGAATTGACTCGATCAAGGAAGCCATAGTGCTGAGTTTGCAGGACCTGATCATGGATGTTATGACTGTGACTTCAAGTGGACTCGTATTCTTAGGTTGTCATAAGTGGACAACAACTCAATGGCAACTATTGTCAGTATTTCTCCCTAGGTTTAAAGAGGCACATTATTATCCACACATGGCTGGTATTGGACACAAACATACTGCTAACAAAGCCAAGTGAGAACATTCATGTAGGATGTGAACTTGTTGTCTGCAAAATCTAGAACTGGACATATATCGCATGTAGTGATAAATATGTCAACTGTTCATATTTCTTGGAATTTCAGCCTGCTTCTCTTTCAACCTGATATTTTTGGTTCAATATTTGTTTACTTCACATTATTGCATGGGCTTCGCGGCCAAACTGTGCTGTCCCTACTGAGCAAAGAGCAAGAGAGGAAAAGGAGGGGGTAAAGGGAGAGAGTAGAACAGAACTTCACGCAGAGGCCAGGAAAGGAACTCAGTTTTGAGTTAGATACAAAGACCTCCTGGGTGGTTTAGCGGGAACAGAGAATACATCAAAATGGGGACTTGCAGGAAAAAGAGACGTTCAACAGATGAGAAAGAGGCTGTTTTCCTGAGAAAGAAAATCACCCTCATTCGGGCTATTGCATTGGCTGTAGGTACCATGGTGGGTAGTGGTATCTTCATTTCTCCCAAAGGGGTGTTGAAAAACTCAGGCAATGTAGGGATCTCATTACTCGTGTGGCTGGCTTGTGGGATCCTGTCTCTGTTTGGTGAGTTAATTATTTTTCTTCATTTTAATTCTTTCAGATTTGTTTGTTTTTAAGCCAAGGGGTGATAATGAATAAAGCACCTGCTGCAAAAACAAAAATCACAGAGACAGTAGTTTATTTGCTAAGGAGAGTGCACTGATACAGGAAATGTATGGAGTAAATCATACTCCATACAATATCCGATTAAATGGAAATGTTACATTGTAGAGTAGCATTTCTCAACCTGGGGGTCGGGACCCGGGGGGGGTCACGAGGGGGTGTCAGAGGGGTCTCCAAAGACCATCAGAAAAATACAATATTTTCTGTTGGTCATGGGGGTTCTGTGTGGGAAGTTTGGCCCAATTCTATCATTGGTGGGGTTCAGAATGCTCTTTGATTATAGGTGAACTATAAATCCCAGCAACGACAACTCCCAAATGTCAAGGCCTATTTTCCCCAAACTCCACCAGTGTTCACATTTGGGCATGTTTAGTAGGCATGGATAGAGCCARGTCGGATTACTCGTTACTCGTAATAATTTRGTTAAAGTTACCTTTTTGAAGCGATTTCGAAGCATTTTAAAAACCCAGAAGTTAAGCATTTTAAAAACCCAGAATGTTAAGGTCTATTTTCCACAAACTCRCCCAGTGTTCATTTGGGCATATTGAGTATTCATGCCAGCTTTGGTCCAGATGCATCATTATCAGAGTCCACAGTGCTCTCTGGATGTAGGTGAACTACAACTCCAGAACTCAACGTCAGTGCCCTCCAAACCCTTCCAGTATTTTCTGTTGGTTGGGGGAGTTCTGTGTGCCAGGTTTGGTTCAATTCCATAATTGGTGGAYTTCAGAATGCTCTTTGATTGTAAGTTAACTATAAATCCCATCAACTACAACTCCCAAATGACAAATTAATCCTCCTTCAACCTCACCAGTATTCAAATTTGGGCTTTTCAGGTATTTGTYCCAAATTTGGTCCAGTGAATGAAAATAAATTCTGCATTTCAGATATTTACATTATGATTCTTAACAGTAACAAAATTACAGTTATGAAGTAGCAACAAAAATAATTTTATAGTTGGGGGTCACCACAACATGAGGAACTGTATTAAGAGGTCTCAGCATTAGAAAGATTGAGAAACGCTGTTGTAGAGCACGTTCACATTCCACAACATCCACAAAGTCTTCTCCAGTACCACATTCCAAATGAGTTAATTTTGTTCCTTCCAGTTTTCTTCACTGTTCAGCTTCCTCAACCATATGTAGAAATGAGAAATACAGTGGTATACACAATCCCAACTTTAGTAGTTAAGTAGTTATTATCTCCACACTGCAGGATCTAGCCAATGCATAGCTGCCCTTCCAAGTCCTAGCTTCCTTCTGATTTCTTGACTGCATCTCAGTTCTGATTAATGACTGAGCCAACACAGGGAAAAATGTTAAAGTATTTCAGTGCCTTCATCATCTGCTTTAAAGTTATGCAAATCTTCTGTGGTGATTTCTTTTGTTTGCTGAATGATTTACTTTGAATTTTCTTGCTTTACTTTTTTCAGTGATTGTTCCAAACCTTTCCTATTTTCTGCTAGTAGTATAGTGTCATTTCATGTCTTAAATTGTTGATGTTCCTTTCCTCAATTTTCACACCTCCTTCCTCTAGGTCTAACCTTTCTTTATGCATGTTATATTCACTCCCATTTTTTGAAAGATGTTGTTGTTCATTCATTCAGTCGCTTCCGACTCTTCGTGACCTCATATTTGAAAAATAACCCATCGCTTTTCATGACCTAAACAATCAACGGTGGTATTATAATTAAACTTCTTTGGAGGGCTTCATTATCCAATTTCCAATATGATCCCTAGCCCTTCTACCTTTCCAGAATCCAGCTTGGCCATCTTGCACTTTTCACTCCATATATGGTAAAGGTCTTTCTTGCAGAATTTTGAACATCACTTTCCTGCATTGGATATTCATGCAATGGTGCTAGAGTTACTGCAATCCCTTGTGTTGCCTTTCTTAGGGATTGGAATATATATTGAGCATTTTCAAACTGAGGGCCATTGTTTTCTTTTTCCATATTTGTTGACAAACTAAAATAGATTCTGTGTCTGTAGGTTATGTCTTTCTTCTCCTTCTCACATGTTCCTATCATGTGAGTTGTGCAGCTTCAGACTTTCCTTTCACCTCGGAGCACGTCAACAGTTGAACATCCTTTCAGCTTGAGTCAGGTTGCATCATTAGCCACAGTACAACTCATAGTTGTCGTCTGGAGTGCTACAGAACTTCACAAAGTGCCATCTAATATTTTATTTAACGTATTTGTATCCCATCCTTCTCAATCCCCGAAAGGGGATTCAGGATGGCTTACAAATGGCAATCATTAGATGCTGACAAAGAAACAGAGCACAGCAGTTAACATGAACAGATCAACAGCACTACCATTCATTTAAAAAATCATTTTTTGGTCCACCAATGGCACTACCATTTTTTTGTGGTGGGTTTATGTGCTTCCATTAGGCAAAAAGCTATGCTGATTCCAGGAGTGCTACTGGTAGAGGAGATTCCATCTGAACATGAGGAAGAACTTCCTGACTGTGAGAGCCGTTCAGCAGTGGAACTCTCTGCCCCGGAGTGTGGTGGAGGCTCCTTCTTTGGAAGCTTTTAAACAGAGGCTGGATGGCCATCTGTCAGGGGTGATTTGAATGCAATATTCCTGCTTCTTGGCAGGGGGTTGGACTGAATGGCCCATGAGGTCTCTTCCAACTCTTTGATTCTATGATTCTATGATTCTATGGTAGGGTTTCTACTAGCAGATAAGCTTTTGCTCAAGAGCCAAACTAAAATGTGCTAACAGGCCCTTGGCAACTGCAGTACTGAAAGGTGACACTGGCAGAGGGCCCTTCTAGACAGGCCCTATACTCCAGGGTCTGATCCCAGGCTTTCTGCTTTAAACTGGATTATATGAATCCATATTGTCAGATAATCTGGGATAAAGAGTAAGCCTGAAATCAAATCCTGGTATGTAGGGCCAGTCTGGAAGTGCCCAAAGGTTCCCTCTATAATAAAATAATCTTATACACACACACACACACACACTGAGTGACTGTGTGTGTACCATTCTAATTTTATGCATTTTCAGTTAGCATCACTATAACCAATTTCAGTGGAAGAGAATTTCCATCTCACTGTGCTTAGACCTAGGAAGATTACTCATGGAGATAAAGATTGTACCAGTGCTTTGACTGTGCCATGATATGCCTAATTACTCAACAATCATTTCCATTGAATTCAATAGGATTTAACTTCCAGATAAGAGGCTAAGGGATTGCCATCTACCTAAGTATCTTGATTTCTTTTTTAGGTGCTCTGTGTTATGCAGACCTGGGCACAAGCATCACAAAGTCTGGGGGACATTACATCTACCTTCTGGAGACGCTTGGGCCCTTGCCAGCCTTCCTAAGATTATGGGCTGAATTCGTTATGATCCGGTAAGGGAAGCCTTATTTTCATTGCTGGGTTAAAAAAAAGTGGGGGTGGAATTCCAGACTATATGGAAGGGTTTTATTGGGAGCTTTGTCTCTTTAAATCTCCCCATTGTGGGCATGTTCCAGCTGTGTTTTTAGAAGTAGCCAGCTGGCGAAAGCAGCACCACCGAGATCTAACAAATGTTGAAGAAGGGAGTGCAAAAGGCATCTAAGAAAGACCTAGAGCAGAGAGGAAGAATGAACAAAGGAAAGAATAATAGGGCAAATTCTAGAAGAGAATCAAAATATATATTTTTAAGAATTGCTACAAACCAAAGCCTATCATCCAGGCTTGAGACAGGAAAATATTTTTTCACCAATATACAGAGGTCATTGTAGTTTTTGCAGTAGAGGCCACTGCTATAATAAAAGGTTTGTGGCTCTATGGAAACCAGGTTGATATATGATCTCCCCTTCCCCCTAACCATCTCCGAGAGCTGTTAGATAAACAGAACCGTCTGCCACTGAACATCTGGGGGCTGCTTTGCCTGAGGAGAGGGAGTTCACAGCTTATTCAAGAGAAGCCTTGCAATGGGAGAAGGGGCTGATAACTACCCACTGCCCCTTCTCCATGTCGGTGCAGCACAACGCAAACTGTCTCCATTGACCATCACACAAAAGTAGGAATGTGTTCCCTTCCTTGTTTGTTTTGGATGTCGCCATGAATGTCACAGAAGTTAGTGACCTGAGTGGGAGAGAAAAGTCATTTCCATCCCAACAGATGCAAGGGAGAGGGAAGAAAAGACATGTGAAAAAAAAACAGACTCCAGAATATGTTTCAGAAGAGTAGCTATGTTTGGTTGATTCAACTTGCCACTATCTGTACATCATAATATTTTACTACATGGTAAAGTTTTGAGTATTTATATTTAAAAACTTCTTTGGTTATGAACATATTTGTGTAAGAAGAGCTAACTTGGATTTTGGGTAAATTTAGGATACAGCAATGAAATATTCTAGGAGGAACTATTCTGTGAGGGGAAATACACAATAAAAGGTAAAGGTAAAGGTTTTCCCCTGACATTAAATCTAGTTATGTCCAACTCTGTGGGGTGGTGCTCATCTCCATTTCTAAGCTGAAGAGCCAGCATTGTCCATAGACACCTCCAAGGTCATGTGGCCAGCATGCCTGCATGGAACGCCGTTAACTTTCCACAGAAGCAGTACCTATTGATCTACTCACATTTGCATGTTTTCAAACTGCTAGGTTAGCAGAAGCTGGGACTAACAGTGGGAGCTCACCCTGCTACCCAGATTCAAACTGCCAACCTTTCAGTCAGCAAGTTCAGCAGTTCAGTGGTTTAACCTGCTGCACCACCAGAGGTCCCAAAATATTTTGTGTAAACACCTTTTTTGTGGATCTTGCTTCAAAATGGTGTCTCAAAATGCTGGGAGATACAAAAACAATCAAACCACCTAAGCTGGAGCAAGTTGGCCACATTTTTATTTTGGATTCAGCTGAGTAATGTTGGCATAGCATGATGTACAGATTCAGGTACAGAATAAGCTGCCTGTTATCTGATCAAACCATCTCTGCAGGCTGCTTGCCAGAGAGATAACTCAAAGGGTGACATATGGGAAGCCATGTGGGCACACAGCTTCTATTTGGTTCCAGCTACTTATGGGTGAGGCTGGCCTTTGACCTTTGAACTAAGCTGACCCCCACATCCTGTGCCCTCAAGGTCCCCTAAAAGGAACCTCAACAGAGAATCAAGTGAGTTTAGTGATTCCCCTATTCCCCAAATTGGATCTTGCCCCATGCCACGCTGCCCACAAGTTGTGAGATTCGTTTGAATATACAAATATACAAGTTACACTATATCAAACTGGCAACAACCCATAGACCAGGATTCAAATGCATGGCTTACTCTCCAGTTGTTTGATCATGTTTTAAGAACAAACTATGGCTTATACCAGGACAACATTGTCCCCAAATATGGCAGAAACGGGTTCATTTTTGCAATCAGAAATGCCTTTCTGTTGTGACTTTCAAATTTATCATGGCCATTTCCAGTTCTGATAGGAGCTGGGTTTTAGGGCACATTGTAAAGAATTGGGATAGGCTGGGGGGATACGAAAAGTATTGGGGCCATACTTTGTTCAATTTGGATGATTAGTAGGCATTTCTTTCAGCATGTTAGAGCTGGAAAGACATGAAAATAGATGCTAAAAACATGTAAGATGCAAAAAACAATGTAGCCAAAGAAGCCAAAAAGAATCCATTTGAGAATTTGAAGTTGTTGCATTTCATTCCAGGCCTGCAAATATGGCTGTGGTGTCCCTGGCGTTTGGTCGCTATCTAATCGAGCCTTTCTTTGCTCCATGTAACGTTCCTCCCTTGGCTGTGAAATTGATCACTGCAACTGGAATCAGTGAGTACCAACTTACATTAAACATCTATGTATCTATGCTCCATACTTCACGCCTTCTGATATCTCACATATGAAAAGCAAGGCAAATATGGGCAAGCATCATAAAAGTATGCTCAAAATGGCAAAAGTTAATCTGGTAGAGTGTGCAAACTTGTTTTCGCCTAAACCTATTGGGAAGAGCAAAATTCTACCTCCTCTCGTCTTTCAGTTGATCCCAAATGGAAAAAAAGATTTTGGGGGGGGGGGGTGAGAACTAGAACATTTTCAAAGTATCTGAAAAAGTAGAATGAAAAATGCTTAATCAAGACTTTCAGCAAAATGAGGACAGCTAGAGGACAGTCACATCCCCCTGAAATACAGCAGCAGAGCTCTCTTAACTAGGTATCCCAACAAACTATGAATTCCAAGGTTGTTTTTCACCACCAGAAAAAAAGCCTGCAAGGTGCATCAAATTTATGGGGTTTTTTTCATGTCAGGAACGACTTGAGAAACCGCAAGTCACTTCTGGTGTGAGAGAATTGGCCGTCTGCAAGGACATTATCCAGGGGATGCCAGGATGCTTTACCATCCTGTGCAAGGCTTCTCTCATGTCCCCACATGAGAAGCTGAAGCGCTGACAGACAGGAGCTCACTCCACTCCCTGGATTTGAACTGCCGACCTTTCGGTCAGCAGTTCTACCAGCGCACAGGTTTAACCCATTGTGCCACCAGGGACTCCTAGGATGATTAATGAATCAAATATTTTAGTTTTGTTTTCAGTTAGAACTTGTCATCTAACTATCTGCTAGTGGCATTGCACTGTTAAAAATCACTTAAGTTTTTTTTTCTTCAAAAAAGGTAGGTGAGGGAAGAAGTAATTAATTTCATGTCTTTGGACTTGAAGCCTTCTTGTTGGCATATCATGTCTCCCATAATCCCTGACATTGACTTTGCTGATGGTAGGCTTAGGAAGGGTAATTGTCATTGACCAATGGTAAAGAGCTTGGAAAGACATGGTGAGTTTTACGTCTTATAGCGATCTTAAAGAAAATTGTTATAAAGTCCGCTATCTATGGTACTTAACCCCACAGATGTTAGCAAAAATATATAGAACCAGGAAAGACTTGTGCTGGAAAGGTACATTGTACCATATGTTATGGAACTGTAAAAGAGTTAAGAACTACAGGAAGAAGATGTATAATACAATTAATAGTATTTTATAATTAGAATTAGAACGTATGCTGTAGTTATATCTTCTCAATATAATAGATGTACAAAATCAATAAACCTACCACCAATTCTCGCAACAGCAAGAGTATCCCTTTGGGCAGCTAGATAAGGAAATCCCAACTGAATTAACCCCCCCCCCCCCCCCCCCCCCACACACACACACACACACAAGGTTTCCTCCAAGGGCAAACCAAGAATGGGCAACTTAGATGTTCCTGGACAAACTCAGAAGATGTGTTGGGAGATCAGTGGCACTACCTAAAAGAATCCTCCATCTTGTGTGACTGTGGAGCAGAACAGACAACTCAGCATCTGTATGCTTGCCCACAGTGCCCTGCCTATGCACAGAGGAAGAACTGTTTAAAGCTACTGACAATGAGGTCACTGTTGCCCATTTTTGGTTTAAAATTATTTAGCCACTTGCGCTCTTTCTACTTTATCAGTTTTATACTTATTTATGCAATGCTTTTGACAAGAAAGAAAGAAATATCCTACAAAGAGAATAATTATGTATATGATTACAACAGCAAGAATAGTATTGTCAAAAAAGTGGAAAATAACTGAATTACCTTCCATCTATGATTGGCAACTGTTATTAAAAGAAGCCATGGAAATGGAGAAACTACCTGAAAGGGAGCTCTCTAAGAAAGGTGCAGAAAAAGTGGGAGAAAGTAGAGAAACATTTTAAGGAATTAGTAGTCTCTGTAAATAAAAATGAATGAATTGTTTATTGTAATGGCCATAGGCCATGACATACAATATACAACCTTTAAAGGTACAATAAGCACTTTCCAATGCAAGAATTAAAACAAGTTCCATATACTAGCTCTTTAAAATTATAGTAGTGACATAATAATAATTACAAATGTCTGGTTTGTATCATCCCCAAAATATCTTAATTTCCATTTCTAGCTTCTGCTGTGGACCTTACTAGTTTGGCTCAGATTTTTTGGGCTGCGACTGCAAATGTGGCAACCTTTAATGTTAAATTTTTGGAATAATCTGCTAGCAAGTCACAGATAACTGCTGATTGTTGCCATGCTGCCCTTTCTTCCAAAATAACTACAGCTCCCAAAAGATTGTTTCGAGGGTCATTATACAGTGGGCAATGTAACAGATAGTGTGTTAAATCCTGTCTTTCCCCAGACCCACAAATACAAAGAAGTTGGGCATGAGGGATCCCTCTGTGTTTTCCCTCTAACCAGCCTGATGGCATTGTTTGAAAGCGCGGGGCTGTAAATGCTTTTCTAAGGGGTACAGATGTTAAATCTTGAAGATATTGTTGGCAATATTGCTCACTCTTTAGTAGAGGATACCAAGTGAAGAAACCCTGCTGTTTACTAGTCTGCAAGTTGTCAATTACACCCATCTCAAAGATTTTGTCTCTAATTGCCCTCTTGTTCAACTGCATTAAGGTTGTTGTTGACCCATCAAATTACTGTAAATAAAAATAAGCATTGGATATTTAAGTTTCTCTTTTTTACCAAATGGGACACAAAAAAAGTAGGAAGAACCTCCACCTCAAAAGACAGGAAAGTAGTAGTTTCTTTGTATTTATTGTTTAATTGGACTGTGTCATGTTTGCTCGGTTTGTGTGTGACTTTTCTTCTTTGTATCTTATAGGGTTGTTTTGTTTTCTTTCTGAAAATCAATAAAATATTTTTAATGCTAAGAAAACTTACTGGGGAATTGAGGAGTTCCATCCTTTCTTATTTCTGGTGATGCTGAAAAAGTAGTTAATGTTTTTAAATTTATGTTGAAAGAAACTCATTACTGGTTTCCTGCATGTGGAAAAAGAATAGTTAACAGCCACTTCCACACTGAGTTCTCATAATGTTTCTTTTTTTCTTTCTTAGCTCTAGTAATAGCTCTGAACTGCTGGAGTGTTAGCTGGTCAGCAAACATACAGACAGTGTTGACTGCCCTCAAGATGATCACTATTGGCTTGGTTATTGTTCCTGGGATGGTGGCTCTTGGAAATGGTAAGGCCATTCAGAATACCACATTTGAAGTGAGATGGAAATGTTGGTAGGTTGGGATCCCCTGTAATTGTGACAAAATTTTCTCTAGGTTCCAATCAGAAACATGAAGGGTCTGGCTAAGGTGCTGAATCTATTTTGGCGGCCAGAATTCAGAACCTTGGATAGGTCTTCAGGACCATTCAAGCATCTGCTGCCACTAGATGGGGAAAGTGCAATAAAATGAAGGGAAGCAAATATATGTTTTTTTGCTTCCCTTCATGGAAACCCACTGGGTGACCTTGAACAAGTCACATTATCTCAGCCTTGGTGGAAAGCAAGGGCAAACCTTATCTAAAGAAATCTTGTCAAGAGAACTCCATGATAGATTTGCCTTAGAATCACCATAAGTCAGAAGTTGCTTGAAGAAAAACAAGCAGAATAACAAGAAAAGAAAGACGAAAAGAGCAGGAATTGTCAGAAGAAAACAAAAGAATGATGGAGGAGACCAAATGTTGAACAAACTCCAGCTAAATTTGAATGGTTGACCAAATGCTCTTCTATAAAGAGAGCAGACTTCTATTTGAAGGCATCCTCTGTTTGTAGAGCTGTGCAGTCCAGGTCTGATTCAAAGAATTTTTAAGGAAAACAAAGCAAAAAAGGATCTAGAAGTTTCTCATCCTCAGTAAATATCTGGAAACCAGACTGGGTAGGCTTATATTTGGTCACAGTCTTCCCCATTATGGGGAGAGGAATTATATTTCTATTCAAATTTCAGGTGTTTTATACTTATCACAGGGGTTTTCTTGGCAAAATTTGCTCAACAGGGGTTTGCCTTTGCCTTCCTCTGAGGCCGAGATAGTGTGACTTGCCCAAGGTCACCCAGTCGGTTTCCATGACAGAGTGGAGATTCAACACACAAAACACAGCACCATGCTGGTTTTCTGAAATTCACATATCAATTCTATGTTCGTCAAAAAAAAACAACAACTGACAAATAATGATAATAAAACCACAAGGAGAAAGGCACATGCCATATAGCTTTGTCCAGGTTGCCTTCTGACCATTTGACTGGATGTCCCCTCCCCTCCCAAGCTGGCCCTGTGCTGGAATATATAAGTGGGGGGCCTGTGGCTTTGCAAATGCTAATAGCCAGTGTGCAAGTTGATGGGAACTGGAGTCCAACAAATTCTGGAAGACACAATTTCCCAGTTTCTGAACTAGATAGATGCTAGACTTTGGGTTGACCAAACAAGACTCCTTCTTACACTATTTCTTACAAGGCAAATGAACCTGTACTGTTGGCCCTCTGTGTCCAAAGATTATGTACCCACAAATTCAACCATCTACATATTTAATTCTATTTTAATGTTCATTTTTTTAGCTTTTTGGTTGTATTGCATTGATTTTACTGCAAGCTGCTTTGTGTCCTTTTTGTAGAGAGAAAAAGCAGGGTATACATAAATCTAAACCTAAACATAATAATAATAATACAGCTCTGGCACAAGCCAGTAAAGGTGGTCCCAGTGGTGATTGGCACACTGGGTGCAGTGCCTAAAACCTTGGCCTGCACTTAAAAATAGATTTCAAAACAGTTTTAGAATTCCCACTTCCCGTGTTCAGGTTAGTTCTAGTGGTTTATGAAAAAATATTGTCGTATTACCATTCAATCTAAAGTATGTATATTAGATTGAATGGTAATACAACATTAATTTTTTTCATAGACTACTAGAACTAACCTGACCACGTAAGTGGGAATTCTAAAATTGTTTTAAAATCTAATTTCTACTTTACACCATTTACCTTGGACATAGACATAGATAGCCATGTCTAATTGATGTTAAAAACAATCAGCACTGACAAAATTACCATCTGTCAGCTGCAAAAGGCCACCCTACTCAGATCTGCACGCATTATTTGCCAATACATCACACAGTCCTAGACACTTGGGAAGTGTCCAATGTGTGATCAAATACAAAAGGCAGCATAGTGATCTTGTTTGCTGTGTACTTATCTTGTTATGTATAAAATAATAATAATAATAATAATAATAATAATAATAATAATAATAAATCTTGCAAATATTCTGGGTTGCTTTGATTGTGTGTTCCTGCATGGCAGGGGATTGGGCTGGATGGCTCTTGTGGTCTCTTCCAACTCTATGATTAGAAAATAAATCCCAAAACCAACCCTTGATTTTGCCAGTTTATATAAACGAGACCATTTTGCTGTGCCATTGCATATAATAAAACTTGAGCATCCATGGATGTTGGTGTCCATGTCAGGGGTTGTGATTGGGTCCTGGAACCAAACACCAGCAGATAACAAGGGCCCACTGTTTTATTTCTGTTTTCATCAGGTCACTATGAAAATTTCCATGATAGCTTTGACACAACTTCATTGGTAATTGAAAAGCTGCCTCTCGCTTTTTATTCTGGGATGTTTGCCTATGGTGGATGGTAAGTCTGTAGGTGATCCTACTTCCTCCTTTCTCAGTGGCTTAAAAGGCAGAAAGGATGTGTGAACACTTTTATTTTTAGTGCAAGACATAAGTTTAAAGAAACCGATCTAACCATCAATGAATTTGGGAATGTGGAATTTTTCCTGCTCCTCTGTTTGCATCGTAATATAGTGTAGTGTATCTTCCTTCATTAAAAATCTAAAATCTTTTTTTCTTTTTTTTCCTTTTTTCCTTTTTTGCTACCACATTTGGAACTTCAATGAACAGTCCATTTCAACTTGCAGCATTAACCCATTTCTAGTAAGAAATTAAGTAATTTTCTACTTACACAATAAAGGTTTATCTACACAGTTATCTACATAAACAAACAAACAAAATACGCATATGATTCCAGCACAATCAGGTGCAGTTAATTCTGTTGTGCTCAATGGCTCTTGCTCATGGTGAGTGTGCAAATCTAAGCAACTGCTTCGAAATTTAGTGAGACTACTTTTAGAGTAAGCAAGACTAAACTCTTTTTGAAAACTTTGTTTGCCTTGCAAGTTATTTGAATGTTCACTTCACCTTGCAAACTCTTCATAAATGTATTTAATTGTAGACTTCTCATTTCATATTTCAGGTTTTATCTAAATTTTGTAACTGAAGAAATTGTGAATCCTAAACGGTGAGTAGGAAAAAAAATAAACTTTGTATTTCTTTTTTGTCCTTAACTGGCTACTTTCAATGCAGACCTTAAATAATTTGTACCATATTTCTTTGATTGTAAGATGCTATCAATTCAATACCACCAACAGAAAAGGCTATCTATCTATCTATTTATCATCTATTATTATTATTATTATTAGATACACAACAAAATTAGTACACAGCAAACAAGATCACTCTGCTTGCTTTGGTATGTGATCACACGTCAGACACTTCCCTGCCATGTCAACTCCACTGGCTGCCGGTCCATTTCCAAGCACAATTCAAAGTGCTAGTCTTGGCCTATAAAGCCCTATACGGCTCTGGCCCAGCTTACTTGTCCGAACATATCTCCCTCTACATTCCACCTCGTAGTTTAAGATCCACCGGAGAGATCCCACCAGCCTCGCAAACAAGTCTGGTGGGGACAAGGGACAGAGTCTTCTTGGTGGTGACCACCCGCTTGTGGAATTCGCTCCCTAGGGAGATCAGGTCAGCTTCATCCCTTCTTTTCTTTCGGAAAAAAAATGAAATCATGGTTTTGGATCCAGGCCATTGGCCAGCAAGCATGACGGCACTTTGGACATCAAACTGGACCATATGATTGTGATAATAATGGAAGTGGCTACATGATTGTGATAATTAATGTTTTATTATTTTTAATCTATTGTTTTATTTATTGTTTTTATTGCTGTATATTGTAATATTTGTGGCATCAAATTTTTGCCAGTGTAATCCGCTCTGAGACACACACACACCCCCCCCCCCAAGGGGTTGAGAAGGGTGGGGTAGAAATGTTGTAAATAAATAAATAAATATCAGCTAATCACCACTGGGACCATCTTTACTTGCTTGTGCCAGAGTCTTTACAGTGTGATCTTTAAATCCCCGTATCATGTAAGCTTTTCCAGTTGCTTCTCATCAAATCTGCTGTCGCCTGGGATTGCAACATTGACGATCCATACTTCATATTATTATTATTATTATTAGTAGTAGTAGTAGTATTAATACCCACTTTATCTTCCCAAAGGGGACTCAAAGCGGCTATCATCTATCTATTATTCACTCACAATTCTAAGACTCACCCCATTTTTGGGTATGTTTATAAGGCAGGGTGGGGGGAGTGTGCCTTAGAATCAAAGAAACACAGTAGTTTAGGGAATCGTTCCTGCCAGGTGGTTTGACAGTTCAACAAAGCAGGGATTTCCAACATATGGAAAGATGGTTCTCCTTTAGAGAGAAGATGAATTGTCATTCAAGCACTTACGATGGTGTCACTTGCTAGTGATGCTCGCTAAGCTGCCTTGGACAGTGATCCGGGATTCTGGGAACTGAAGTCGCAAACACCTGGAAAGACAGAATTTGGCCTACAGCAACATTTCTCATGCTATCTGATGTGTGGAACCAGCAAATCCCTATCCACTACAAAACAATGTGCCAGGAGCCAGTAGCATATATGCTCCCGTTGGCTACAACTGTTTCTTTCTTTCCTGGAAACTCTCCAAAGATTAGCACCAGGCTCTATAAGAATGTTCACTTTTAAGAAATATTTCTAAACTACTTGCAAACCCTATTTGATAACAGCGTGCACTTATCTATTTGTCTGTTCTTACATTCACATCTTCAGTAAAGAGGGAAAGAGCCGAAGACTGAAAGTAGCATACAGTTGAAGATGAACTCTTAACAAATATATACTTTTTGTCTCTAGAAACATCCCATTGGCTGTCGTGATATCCTTGACTGTTGTCACAGTTGGTTACCTCCTTACTAATGTATCTTACTATGCAATCCTGACACCACAAGAAATCCTCAACTCCGATGCAGTAGCTGTCGTGAGTATAAGGTTTCCATTTTAAATCATTATGTCCCAGATTGGGAAAAGAGAAGAGGGAATTCCCTAGAAGGCAAAGTAGACTTTGGCTTAATTTTGAAAAACAGATTGTACATGCTACTGCCTAAAGCAGACATATGTTTCCAAGGGAGAAAAAAGGAGTAAAATATCACTTTCCAAACAGAAGTTTGGTTGGAATTACTACATGGATTTGATTCTTTCTAGCTTGAGACCTCTCCACTTAGCAGAAGGTGAAAAGCTTTCTCGCTTCCATTTATTATTAGGAAACATATGTCTGTTTGGCTGGCCTTCAGCCTTTCATCAATTTGATCAATATTTTTTAAAAAATCTATAAATAAATTGTATGTTTATGCATTCACAGAGAGAGAGAGAGAGAGAGAGATCATGCTTCTATATAACAAAGTGATCTGCTCTGTGAAACAATTTGGAAAGAAAGTTTGTCTATTTTTGAAGTGTGAACTGCATTGATATTTGGTTAATTTTGTTTTCCCCTTTTAACGTGATGATTTAAAGCAGTCGTTCCCAACCTTTTGATCAGGGACCACTTGACCAAAGATCACTTGACCAAGGACCACTTTGACCAGGTCCCACTCTCCAACTTCAGTACCAAAGGGTTATGAATCGGTTTCTGGTCAACTTTAGATTCAGTTTGGTTATTTGAAGTGCTGATTCAGAAAATTCCATTACATAGACCACATCAGGTCTAGTTTCTGATACAGAATATATGCCATCCAGTAGTCGCCCTCTGCTCGCCCACAGAAAACCATATTTAATAAGCCTCGGCACTATAAGAGGGTTTTGCGAGACCAGTCGGTCTTGTTGCAATGGTGTATATTTTAGTTCTTGCGTACCATTGGTGGTCCATGGACAACAGGTTGGGAACCACTGATTCAGGCATGTAGCGGGGGGGGGGGGGGTTCCACGAGAAGGCCTTACTGGTAGATTATTTCAACTGTTATGTTTATTCATATCATGATCTGATCACCATGCTCAATATATCCCATATGCATGGGGATATTGGGGTAATGATACAAAACGTTTGTTAGGGTAGACCCTCTTTCTCTCAGACTTACCCCCCCTCCCCCGAATCAAACCCAGCCCCCCCCCCCAATCAAAATCCTGGCTACGGGCCTGCACTGATTTAAAGTGATTTAATATTGTTTTATTGCACTCTTATTGGGTGAACTGAAACCATACTCTTTTAATTATTGTTGTTTTTATAGTTCATTTTCCAAATAGATGGGGAAATATAAAGAGGGAAGGAGACATTGATTGACTGAACGGGTTTCTTCTTCTTCTTCTTCTTCTTCTTCCTCCTCCTCCTCCCCCCCCCCCTCCTCCTCCTTCCAGAGCTTTGCTGATAGAGGTTTCAAGAGCATTTCCTCCGTGATCCCAATTCTTGTAGCTCTGTCATGTTTTGGAGCTTTGAATGGAGGAATTTTTGCTGCTTCAAGGTAAACATTTAAAAGACTGCATATCAGTTATAAGAAATCTTATTGTTACTCCTGACTAGAGTACATCCATTTAATCAATAGAATCCACCTTTCTCCTGACTCACCATTCAACAAGAGAATCATAGAAGGCAGAAGCACAGAAGCATAGAGAGACCACATGGGCCATCTAGTCCAACCCCCTGACATGCAGGAAAAGCACAGATGACCATCCAGCCCACTGTTTAAAATCCTCCAACAATGAGCTTCCATGACAGAGGGTTCCACTGCTGAACAGCTCTTACGGTCAGGAAGTTCTTCCTAATGTTCAGGTGGAATCTCCTTTCTTGTAGTTTGAACCCATTGCTCTGAGTCCTAGTTTGCGGGCAGCAAAAAACAAGCCTGTTCCCTCTTCCTTATGACATCCTGTTATATATTTATACATTGCAATCATGTCTCCTCTTAACCTTATTTTCTGCAGGCTAAACATACTCATTTCTTTGAGATGCTCCTCATAGGGATTCATGGTCTTCAGACCTTTGATCATTTTAGTCACCCTCCTCTGGATACCTTTCAGCTTGTCAATATCTCTTTTAAACTGTTGTGCCCAAAACTGGACACAGTATTCTGGGTGAGGTCTACTCAAAGCAGAATAGAAGGGCACCATGACTTCCCTTGATCTAGACACTATACTCCTTTTGATGCAGCCTAAAATCACATTGGCTTCACATTCTTGGCTCATGTTCAACTTGTTGTCCACAAAGACTCTTAAGATCTTTTTCACGTAGACTGTTGTCAAGCCAGTTGTCACCTACCAGTATCTGTTCATTTCATTGTTTTCTGCCTCAATGTAGTATCTTACATTTGTCCTTGTTGAAATCCATTTTGTTCCTTTTGGCCCAACTCTCTAATCTGCGAAGGTCATTTTGAATTCTGATGCTTGCTTGTAGAGTATTAGTGATCCATCATTGGTGTTATCTGCACGCTTTATAAGTATGCTTTCTAAGCCTTCATCCAAGTCATTATTAAAGATGTTGACCAGTACTGGGTCCAGGACTGAACCCTACAGCACTCCACTAGTCATTTCTTTCCAGGATAAAATGAAACCATTGGTGAGCACCCTTTGGGTTCGGTCACTTAACCATCTAAGTGTAGTGTGTTGGAAGCTCCTTCTTTGGAGGCTTTTCAACAGAGGCTGGATGACCATCTGTTGGGGGTGCTTTGAATGCGATTTTCCTGCTTCTTGGCAGGGGGTTGGACTGGATGGCCCACGAGATCTCTTCCAACTCTATGATTCTATGTAAAGAAGGGGCAGGATCTTGCCCTTCCCTGTATGCTGAGGCAAAAACAAGCTGCTGCAGCTGCTCTTAGCTTGTGTGTTCTTCCTCCTTAATAACTTTGGCCATCTTGACCAGATTCTGATATTGCTTGCCCATAATGTCCAAGTCTTCATCAGTCAAAAGTTGGAGTTTGGTCAATAAGATTCTGTGTGTACTTCAAATCTTTGCCTGGTCTAACGGTGCATTTATACTGTAGAATTAATGAATTTTGACACAACTTCAGCTGTCATGCCTCAGTGCTATGGAATTGTGGGAGCTATAGTTTGGTGAGGCACCAGCACCCTTTGACATCCTAGGATTACAACTCCTAGGGTGCCATAGCATTCAACAATGGTAATTAAAATTGTGTCAAACTGCATTAGTTTTATAGTGTACTTGCATTTAGGACTGTCCTCTTGCAAAATTGGAGCTTATTTTTTTGAACTACATTTCCCATCTTCCAGCCACTTATAGTCCAAACAATTACCTTTTTAAAACTCTGAGAATGTAGAAGCAAGGAGGGGAAACAACAATCTTCCCACAGCTATTCCTTCTCTACAGAAATTCCAATTATATCATCATTTGACTAAGGTACAACTTCAAGAATGTGCATTTGCTATATATATATCACTTCAGAAGCTATAACAGAAACAGGTTCAAAACACTGGCAAATTGTGATGAAAGAAACTCAGCATAAGTCTAGTATGAATGTAACATTTCTCCCCTTTCAGATATTTCCTAAAATATGTTATATCCCTATCTTTTTCTAAAATTGGAATTTCTATGGTGAACTATTTGTAGGATCAATGCAGAACAGAACATTGCAGTGATCCTAGTAGGTGGCAAGGAAGCTTAATTCAATGTCTGACCACCACTTCGTAGTGATAATTAAATATATGGCATATTTAAAGCTGGCTTTGTTCTACAGGATGCTGTTTGCAGCTGCAAGAGAAGGACAGTGGCCAGCTCTGTTTTCAATGATACACCTTCAAAGGCACACTCCTCTCCCGGCCCTGATATTAATGGTATGAGCTTTACAAGGTTTAGAATGATCAGGAAACGGACTCACCCACTTCCCCAAACCTAAATGAATGTATAGGACAGACGGAAATGAGAAGCAGACATCGGGTTGTTTTTACAGGATGGTACTTTATGATCACAGGAGGCCTAACTTGTATTTTTTTCAAGGAAAGAACATAAAATGACTTTTTGATGGTGCAGTTTCAGTCAGCCCTCTGTATCCATGGATCAACTATTTTAAAAAATTCTAAAAAGCAAACCCTGATTTTGTCATTTTTTAGAAGGGACCTCATTTTATTACATCATTCTATATAATGGGACTTGAGAATCCACATATTTTGATATTCATAGGTTCTGGCACCAAAATTCAGCAGATACCAAGGGCCCACTCTATTTTGTCTTGTTCAGCCTTTAAAATGGGTTCACATAACTTACATCCCACCTACTAATACATTCAAGTTAAATTTTGTCCTTATATGCAACTCTGGAATACACTGATTTAGACAAATCTGTGATCAGGACTAAAAATGAAGTTTTTGTAAAAGGAAAATGTTTATGCAAATCAGTCCCATCTATATAAATAAAAATATAATGTTCGTTTGTGGGATTAACATAACTCAAAAACCACTGGACTAATTGACCTCAAATTTGGACACAATACACCTTATCAGGCCAACAAGTGACCATCACTCATAAAAATATGGAAAACACAGTGGAAGGGACTTAAAAAGCCAAAAATTAAAAAATACATTACAACGCATGCACAAAATCACATATATACACATATACACACACACAAAACACATATATACAAACTGGGCCACTGCAAGGCATGGCAGGGGACATCTAGTTGTGTATAATAAAGTACTAAAATAGCAGATCAGTTTTAGACCATAGACCTCCTCACACTACAGAATAAATCCACATTAAATCCAGTTGCTGCCTCCTGCAGAATTCTGGGGTTTGTAGTTTAGGGAGGAGCCTTTAACAGCCTCACTAAACTACAAACCTCCGAATTCTGCAGGAGGTAGAAATTGGATTGAAAATGGATTCATTCTCTAGTGTGAATGAAGTAAATGCTACTTCAGATGCTGATTAATAAGGGCAATTCCTCCAAAGGAAGTGGATAAAACGGTGTTATATTTTGTTGTCCTGCAAACGTTTTTTTCCAAAATGTTTTCAAATTTTTCAAATTAATGGCTAGATTGGATATCTGGTTCATGCTTGTTAAAATGTTGTAGTACAAATTGTTTTAGATGTAAATAAACAAAATAAATAAACATTTTTTTCTGTATTCAGTTGCCATTGATTTATGTAATGGTGTCCATTGGTGACCTCTATGGGTTGCTGAACTTCTACAGCTTCGCACGCTGGCTCTTTATAGGACTTGCTACATTAGGCCTCATGATACATCGGTACCGGCATCCAGAAATACCAAGACCATTTAAGGTAAGAAGTGAAAGATTGAAAATATTGCATGGAAAGAGTGGAACTACAATGCCAGAAATATCTTCCCAGTGCAGATGTAGTGTTTAAGTGTGATTTGTTATAAGAATTCAAATGTACGCTGAAGCCAATAGTTTTGCCAAACTATGATTTACCAAATTTAGAATGAGATTTCCATATAGGACCTCGCAGTTTTCTCAATATAGATAAAAACACAGGATGCTATCCTTGTTATTAATCCTTAACCATGGCTTATGTATCCACTATGCAAAAAGACAACTTAAATGAAGGCGCTACTGTTTTGCATCACGTTAAAGGGAAATATGAATGAAAATAATTTAATACAATGGTTCCCAACCTTTTTTGAACCAGGGACCACTTTGACCAGGGACCACTCTTCAACATTAGTACCAAAAGGGTTACAAATCAGTTTTTGGTCAACTTTAGATTTGGTTGGTCATTTGGGGTGCTGATTCACAAAACTGCATTGGATAGACCACATCAGCTCTATTTCTGATGCAGAACATATGTCATCCAGGAGTCACCATCTGCTCACCCACAGAAAACCATATTTAATCATCTAGAGCTATGTAGGAATAGTACTCTTTCATGAGTAGTCAGCCTCTCCCTTCCCGACATCCCTGTTACCTCGGCATTATAAAAGGGTTTCGCAAGACCAGTCGCTCTCGTTTTCGCGTGGTTTTGAGAGAACGGTGTAGGAACGGTGAGGCCACAGACCATATTTTTGTTATCACTAGTAGTCAATGGACCACAGGTTGAGAACCACTGATCTAATAGAATACCAAATTTATGTAAACTTGGTAAGAACAAAAGCAGTGAATACATTTTATTGATTAGCCTATTGGCTGTATCAAAAGGATAAGAACAAAAGCAAATCAAGGATACATGCGTACCCAAGATGCAGGAAGAGGGAGAAATGTGCATAATGAAGACGCCATAAAAAAGATCAAATCACAGTTCACATTTCTGTTTTATTCCAGTTCAGAGAACGAGTTGGGAACATCCTTATGCTCAATGTAGGGGCAGGTTATGGCTCCTATCTCCTATGTTTAAACCAACAAGTTTTGTTGCTTGTATATGCTTTTGATTTTTCGTCTTCATTTTGTGCTTAGGTACCCCTGGTTATCCCACTGGTATTTACCATAGCCTGTTTCTTTATTGTGGGGATGTCATTATATTCAGATCCTGTGAACACCAGTATAGGCTGTGCTATAACTCTGACTGGCTTGCCAGTTTATTATCTGGTGGTTCAGAAAACGAGAATACCAAGATGCTGCACATCCATATTCAGTAAGTATGACCAGCAGTGTGGACAAGGTTTGAAGAATTTGAAGTCCCTGCACCACACCTCTCATGAGTGGATTCCTCCACCAATCGCATATTGGACTACAGGAAAAAAAGAAAACAATCCTCTTTTTTTCCCGAGACTTTATGCAGAGGTTGACAGGTGCACAAGGCATTGGATGCTCTTGCTGTTAATTGCTGTCAAGTTGAATTTAACTTATGGTAACCCAATGAATAAGATACCGCTGGGTCACCTTATCGTCAACAGCCTAGCTCAGATCTTGAAGACTCAGGGCCATGGCTTCCTTGATTGAGTTTATCTATCTGTAATGTGGTCTTATTCTTTCCTACTGCCATCTACCTTACAAAGAATAATTGTCTTTTCTAGTGAGTCATGTCTTCTCACAAGTAAATAGCATGAGAGGCCCAGTTTTGTTATCTTGGCTTTCAAAATTCAGGGAAATTTTTGGCCTCTGTGGTGGTGCCACCCTAGGAATACAACAAACTTTGCTATCACCTACAGTGTCTCAAAACATCTAAAGGAAAGTGTCATAGAGATGTATATTTATAGGTAAAAGTATGAAGTATCAATATCTAAACGGCTGGAAACACGTACCCTTCTTTTACAGAATGTAAAGCAAGGGTGGGACGAAGAACGGAGGAAGAACATTATGATTAAAGACAGTCACTTGCCTGACTTAACTGGCATTGGAGCCTAACACCTCCTGCAATGTCTCCTCTGCAGACAAGAATGACATTTCACAGTCAGCAACTAACACCTCAGTCTCAAAATTAATCTACCTTCTGTTACATTTGTTTAGATGCCATGACAGTGAAACTGCAGATCCTAATGAAAGTGACTCACCAGGAAGTCCAGACTTACTGAAGGAGTTGTGACACTGAGCAAGGACAACAGCATTGTAAAAGGACTTTCAAGGTGCCTTCACGCCGGTTTCCAAGGGCGCTCCTCATAATCGAACAGTAAGGAATACATCTCCAAGCCCCTTGTGATGAAGGAGAGAGAAATGTGGTGTACCATTCTTTTCTAACAAAACATTTTATCTTTATTTTTGAAAAGGAGCAAATACTCAGCTTCAACAAAGACATTCTAGTTTTGCTTATTTTGGTAGTTTTTTTCAGATACTAAAGCAGATTAATTGGCCAAACTAATGTGTATACTGAATGTTGTATGATAATAAAACCTGCTGGCCAGGTAGGAATGTTGTTTGCCTTATGACTGAATAGGAAGTGGAAAACTAAACATTACCTATATATGCTACAAATAAAGAAAAGTGCATGTTGCTTAAATGCAGGTGATCAGGTCATTCTAGGTAGTCCTATACATTCACTGATTTCCAGTGCTATGAAATCCAATACCGTGGATGTAGCGTACCTGGATTTCAGGAAGGCCTTTGACAAGGTCCCCCATGACCTTCTGGCAAGGAAACTAGTCCAATGTGGGCTAGGCAAAACTACGGTGAGGTGGATCAGTAATTGGTTAAATGGACGAACCCAGAGGGTGCTCACCAATGCTTCCTCTTCATCCTGGAAAGAAGTGACAAGCGGAGTGCCGCAGGGTTTGCAGACGACACCAAATTGGGAGGGATAGCCAATACTCCAGAGGACAGGAGCAGGATTCAAAACGATCTTGACAGATTAGAGAGATGGGCCAAAACTAACAAAATGAAGTTCAACAGTGACAAATGCAAGATACTCCACTTTGGCAGGAAAAACTAAATGCAAAGATACAGAATGGGGGATGCCTGGCTTGAGAGCAGTACGTGTGAAAAAGATCTTGGACTCCTCATGGACAACAAGTTAAACATGAGCCAACAATGTGATGTGGCGGCAAAAATAGCCAATAGGAGCATAGTGTCTAGAGCTAGGGAAGTAATGCTACCCCTCTATTCTGCTTTGGTTAGACCACACTTGGAATATTGTGTCCAATTCTGGGCACCACAATTCAAGAGAGATATTGACAAGCTGGAATGTGTCCAGAGGAGGGCGACTAAAATGATCAAGGGTCTGGAGAACAAGCCCTATGAGGAGTGACTTAAGGAGCTGGACATGTTTAGCCTGAAGAAGAGAAGGCTGAGAGGAGATATGATAGCCATGTATAAATATGTGAGAGGAAGCCACAGAGAGGAGGGAGCAAGCTTGTTTTCTGCTTCCCTGGAGACTAGGACGCGGAACAATGGCTTCAAACTACAAGAGAGGAGATTCCATCTGAACATGAGGAAGAACTTCCTGACTGTGAGAGCCGTTCAGCAGTGGAACTCTCTGCCCCTGGGTGGTGGCGGCTCCTTCTTTGGAAGCTTTTAAACAGAGGCTGGATGGCCATCTGTCAGGGGTGATTTGAATGCAATATTCCTGCTTCTTGGCAGGGGGTTGGACTGGATGGCCCATGAGGTCTCTTCCAACTCTTTGATTCCATGATTCTATGAAAGATGGAAAGGCAAAACTAACTCCAGATATTACTAGACACAATATTGAAAATAAAAAGAGATTCTACCTAAATATTAGGAAGAACTTTTTAAAATGCAAGAGCAGTTCAACAGCAAAACAGATTCCCTTGGAGGGTGATGGACTTTTCATATTTCGGAGGCTCTTAAAAAGAGTTTGAATTGACATCTTTAGTGGTATATTTTTTCATTGCAGAGGACTGGGATAGATGGTCCTTGTGGTCCCTTCCAACTCTGATTCTGCTAGTTTAATCTGTTACGGGTTCTAAAAACATCTTTGTAACAAATGAAGTTAATAGTGCTGAAAAATGATAAACTTCTAGTGTACAAGTTTAGAAACACGTGGTTAAGTATTTGTAAGCATAAAAATAGGGCTGTTTCACACTGAGCTTTGCATTTACAGTAGCAGTCTTGGAAGCACTTTCAGAATATTAAGGCACTATTAATCCTTGAAAGTCAGGAAGCAAAAGAGTAAGGCAATGAGCCTTCTGAACCTAACATCGTTGTCAAGAGGCTTGAATTTCTCCCAGGTGTTTGCTGTAAATCTAATCTGTTTAATACCCCAATTATACAGTTGGCTGTCTCAAAAGTACACTGGCATTGTATTTCATGTAGACAGGTGCAAAACAGGGCAAGCCCTGATAATTTAAACCACTTGTTAGGTTAATCTTTTTAAAAATTAAAATACCGTAACTCCAATAAAATACAACCAATACATTCAGGAATTCTGGAAGTGAACATTATTGGATGTTTGCTCATCATTTCTGTTAAGTCAGCATCAAGTTATGGTGACTGTCTGAATGGAACCTTGCCCTGTCGTCAACAGCACTACTCAGATCCGGCAAACTCAGGGCTTCCATCAACCTGTAATGCAGTCTTCTTCTTTTCCAACTGCCTTCCACTTTACCAAGCATTGCCATCTTTTCTCATCATTCACATTGTCTCATTTCTTGTGTGTGTGTGTGTGTGTGTCAAGAGTGACTTGAGAAACTGCAAGTCGCTTCTGGTGAGAGATAATTGGCCGTCTGCAAGGATGTTGTCCAGTGGATGCCCAGATGTTTTGGTGTTTTACCATTCTTGTGAGAGGCTTCTCTCATGTTTCTGCATGGGGAGCTGGGACCGACAGACTGAGCTCAACCCGCTCTCCTTGGATTTGAACTGCTGACTTATCAGTCAGCAGTCCTGTCAGCATAAAGGCTTAACTCATTGTGCCACCGGGGGGCTCCACATTGTCTCATGATATGGTCAAAAGATGATGGCTCCGGTTTAGTCACTTTCAGATGTTTCTAAAATATACAAACCAACCAGTGTCATTTTTGTGGATATATTATGCACTAAAGTTCTCACATAAGGAATACAAACACAAAAAAGTGTCAGAGAAATCAGAGATGGAATTTGCATTATTCGCAAGACAATCTGTAGCACATTCTATATTTACACTGAGTGAGAAATTAAACACTTGAGTGCTAAAATCAAAACTTAAGTAATACAGATTTTAATTTCAGTATTTAAAGTACAGAAAGTGGAAACTATGGTCAAATACAAATTTAAACAAGCCACTTGTCCTCCCAAACATTAAATCAGTAAGCTACATATAGAAACTTACAAATTTCAAAGTAAAACTGAAACAAAATAAATACTGTACATACACTTTCCCTGCCTGCAGGCAAAAATGGGATGGGAAACACTGATATAAATTGGAAGAAGAAAAAGCTCTTAAAGCTGCAGCATCCCATTTCCCAGCCAAAACACTCCACACAGTAGTGTGTTTCTGTAAAAAGGATCAGAGGACACACAAAGTTCTATTCAGAAAGACTGCTATTTCACAAACATTCAAAAAGTAGAAAAAGGTGTGAGGGAAATCACATCAGCAAAACACTACTACAAAACTAGTAAATATAGCCAAGACCTATCGCCTCTTTTCAAATGTACTGAATATCTCAAAAATGCCAAAGCACTGGCAAAGTTAAACTTTTCCCAGCAGAAGTGATAATTCATATTAATATAATCTCTTAAAGTGATTTCTTTTATTCCATTCCCACAGCAAGAAACTATTATGGCTTAAAATTTATATATTCAAAGTCCTCTTGCGGAGAGAAATGCAGCTATAGCAGCCGCTGCATTTCCTTATCAGTGCTAGTCTCATTCCCACCCTTTACTGCACAATTCACACATTTTGTACACAGATCTTTGCCTTTTTTGGAAAATGGATGTTGCAGCTTTTAATACAGTTCAAACTACAAATAGTAAGGCCCGAAAATTCAGTTTATATTTCTTCCACAAAATAAAGTTGCCCTGATTTACTCAGATCCAGGGAAATGAACAGCGTTTGATGGTCTGGAAGTACAGATGCAAATTATTACAAAACGTTGCCTTAAGGTTTTTTCTTTTCTTTTTGGAGGCAGGGAAATTGTGGATGAAGTGAGGCATTCTCTGGTCATTTATAGCACTGAGCCTCCACAGTTTTCCCAATTTTCCTCCAAATTAACAAAACTACTGAATCTGACCAATGTTGTTTTGAATCCTACAGAGATTTCACAGTTAAATTACTACACATCCGGGTGAATAAAGGCAGTTTGTGGCATGTTAAAAGCTTAGGTGAAGTAAAGTTGACTATGACCATGTTAGTGTGCTCTTACCCTGAAGAATATTAATGCAAGCACTTTTGCTATGAAAAAAAATGTAGCCAGAAGGGCAGTTCTTATTGTTCCGCCTTCTTCAAATGGTTTGAAATGTTCATATGTAAGTGTCACTGACTGCATAGGTAAGTTTACCATAGAGGCCATTTCAGGCTGTTTTGTAGTCTGAGATTATGGATAAGTATTGTAGAAGGATGGCAAGAAATGCTGCTAGAAATGATCCACTAAATCACTACACTGATACTCTTTTCTCATTTTCTCTCACCCATCACTTCAAGAGAGAATAAGTCTATGGCAATTGTGCCCTATAGCTGAAATTATTGTTCCAATTATTTTAAAAGCTAGCCTCTTTCAAATGAGGCTTCCTGCCAAATATGGCTAAAGTATTGCTTTCTCTCCCTCAAGGTGAACTGACAGAATCTAATTTGGACAGTAAACTGCATATGTAAAGTCTGCTGCACAGGGATTTCTACCAAGGAAGTTTCTAGTTTACGAACAAGACTGCCAACTAAAGTCTCTTCATTCAGCTACCCAAACTAAAAACTGAACACACTTAAGAGCAACTTATTTCACCATCCTGTTAATATACTTTGCTTCCTTAAAGTAAATTGGCCTTATCCATATTTTACTTCCGTAAAAAGGTTACTGGATTTGTGATAGGGGAACATTTGCCTCAATTTTATTTGAAAGAGGAAGCAAAAATGATTTAGCAAGTGACATTTCTTTTTTGGCAGACTGTGAAGAGATGTTTGTATGAGAAAGAGAGGTGCTCGATAAGAATAACTGAAACATCTATGAAAATATGGCTCAAGCCAAAGCCTCTCCAGAACCAGAACATGTCCTTCAAAAAGGCCATAGCTGTATTTTACTAATGAAAATGCAAAACAAACTAAAGCAACTATGAGAAACGTCTGCTACTCTGGTCTGGAAAGAGAAGCTTCATTTTTCTAATACCCTTTTCCAATACATTTACCATTCACTGAACTGTGTCCTCATTCAAATTTTACAGAATTTTTACTCTTGTGTAAAACGAGACAAAAAAGCAGTTCTCTTCCAAGTTATGGCTTACCAAAATCTGAAATGAACATCTAGCACCACAGATCTGTTTTTTTGCATATAGCAAAAGAGCACTATCTCACTTTTAAAGGTATTGAGAATGCGTAAATACAAACTCTACACAAATATCCTGCAGGTCAATTAGACAAATATATTGACTCCAACTGCTGAAAAAATAGATTTCTTTGATCAATACTGAAAAGTGTGTTAACTCAGATTAACCAGCGAATCACAGTTATTTCCAAAAGATAGTACTTGAGCTTTCTCCAAGTAATTAGCTCAATTTGTAACCTTGATAACATACATTTTCTCACTTGGTTTTATTTCGTTTCGACAACTGTTGAAAGAAAACCCTATTATTCAAGAGGAAAGGAGAGTGAAGGAAAAGTATGGTAATTTCCAAAATGACATGTTACAAGCTTGTTACCTAATTTTGCCAATTTTCATGCAAATTCTAATCCAGTCAGAAGTCAAACCATTGCACTTACTTTCAAATTAAGGTTGTGTTCCCATCCTACATGAAGTTATGCATTATGAAGTCTTACTCAGTTAAATGGTTTTAACCGACAATTTTGTAAAGGACTGAAGCCATGAAATGTTTCCACTGAGAAATTTGGCTAAGTCTTATAAACTGCAGTAGCCAAAAAAACCTGGATATTGTTATATGGGACAGAGGACATCACATATAGTTTAACACAGATACACACAGAGATGCAGAAAATACTGAACATATAAAACTGTCTAAGCACAAAGACCTATTTGGGGATTTCTAAATATTTTATTTTAAATATAACCTGAAGGCTGTGAAGCTTTTATTGAAGTGAATCAAACAACCGAGTAGCTTTGGCCATGCTTTAAGTCTTAATCAACAGGCTGAAAAAGAAAACCCAGAGCAATATCCCTAGTATTCCTGCTTTAGTACTGAATAGCCCTCTTATCAAAATAGTAGTATAGGTGCCTCCTCCTTTTCCTCCAAAGAGCTTAAATAATCAATTTTATATTACAAAAATACAAATTTATAATCTAAGTTATTTACATGCATTTCAGAATTGGCATTTACTACCAGATTTTTGCAAAGCATGACACAAAATAAGTCATCTGAAATTTATCAAGCTATCAAACATATTTACATATATACAAAAATGACTTAAGACCTTTAGGAGACTGGCATATGTAGACAATGATACAATATTCTGCCACCATAATAGCCTTCCTCCATAAAATGTGTTTAAGTGTCTACACTTAAATCATAGCTATAGTGCTACAACTGGTGTACTATAACCCATGCTTTGCATGGATCATTCTCCACAGCATGGGAACAAACGGGGGAAGAAGGAAGCACATACATGTGCAAAAGCTGTTGCTAATGCTACACCAATTTATAGTCCAGATTAACTGGCAGAGAATGAGAAGTGGAAGAAGGACAAGAAGTCACAGAAAGGTCGATTAAGCTGATGGAGAATGTGTACTTTAGTAGAAAACTATCCACAAGAATGTATAAAGAAAAGAAATTAAGATGTGATTCCATGTGCCTTAACTTAATGCACCACTTGCATGTTTAAGACTGTAACTTGTATACTACCTGTTAGAAGCCAAAATAAATCTTCCATGTGGCTCTCTACTACAGTCACTAAAAACAAATAAAAATCTTCACATTTCTTATATCTAAAATTAAAATTATATTTCCCACAAAAAGGCTTTCCAAATAATAAATAGTTTAAAAATGAATTCAATAGTTGCCAAAATCAGTCAAATAAATTATTGATAACCACCTTCATCATAATCTTCTGTTCATGAATTAGTTTAGACACATAATAGAAACAAAATGATTGAGCCCTGAAAAAGACCACTCCCCAGTCGACAGTCTCTGGATATTCCCCTGTTTTCCAAGTGTTTATTGCTGAGCAGGTGTGGCACAGTGAAAATGCAGCATTGAGTTTTTGTTCATCAGGCAGTGTTCTAATAATGTACATGCATTTCTGCTTCAAGCAGAGGACTACAACAGAAGCTCCAGGCACTGTTACCCTCGATACTGGTCTGCATATAAAAGGACAGCAGCAGCAGAAGGAATCACTGCATCAAACAAAAAAGCGTGCATGGCCATTTCGATTCAGCTTTAGGATCTTCCCAAGTCGCTGTTTGGCAGTTGCCATACCTTTCTTTGGACGTTTGCCTGAAAGAAAAGGAAAATACATGTAATTTTGACCACCACTACAGCTCAGGTATTTGCTTTAATAATTCATCAAAGCAGTTCCACATTAGCCAAAAAGGGTTTTTTTTAAAGGCTGGACCAGTGAACGTAAGTCATCACAGGTTTTTCAGCAGCTAGTTGCAGTCGCTCTTGGCACTTCTGGAACACTCAGCACCTCTCAACTATGCTAACTGACTCAACATCTAATGATTGAAAGATTGATATACCTATTCATATTTGAGGTAAGATACTATAGCACATTGCACACCTATATATTGCATTCTGCTATAAAGTTTTCTGAACTCTTCAACAATTCTTATTGTGTTCCTGGAAGATAGGCTGTTGTTGTTATGCTCACATAGCAGAATGAGAGGGACAGAGAAAGAGGAAAAGGAGACAATGGGAGAATTTCTAACTGAAAGTAATCTAGATTATTACAGCACCTTTTGTTGCCTGGTTGTTGATAGGGGGTGGATTTGATGCTGGTCGCTTGGTTGGATGAAGAGGGACAGACAATGACGTTTCACCATATGGCTGGTCAGGGCTAAGGCTGCCATCACTTAGCCTGCATTCCCCTTCAATCAAGCTACAGTCCTGCGTGCATTTGCCATGTGGGAAGCTGAAACCATTATTTTGTAAGTGACTTCTGTTTTCTTGAATTCTGTAACTGGTTTCTGATGCATCTTCCTTTTTAATGTATTTATGAGTTTTGTTTGTATCCTGTAAAGGGGGGAAGGCAGTTTGACTCTATAAATGCTGACCATATGCAGAATTTGTGGATGCATATACATAAGCATCAAAAACAACAGGAACATTTTTGTAAACTAAATTTGAACTCAATTCCTTATTACTTAATTTTGCAAAGTTCAATTCTACACGCAAAAAGAGCCGCAACTAAATAAGAGCCAAGCAAACAAAGGCTAAATTAATAATAGAAAGTACTTTTGTCACTGACATTGAATCAATCTAACCAGTAGTATAAATGCTAGTTACAGTTCCCAGAAAAATTATGACACAGATGTGATACATATAAATGCTCAATATGCATAAAAAGCATACAACACAATTGTTCAGAACATGGATGCTAAGAAAAAACTAACTCAGATGGTTAAAAAAGGTAAAGGTTTCCCCTTGACATTAAGTCTAGTCATGTCCGACTCTGGGGGGTGGTGCTCATCTCCATTTCTAAGCTGAAGAGCTGGCATTATCCGTAGACACTTCCAAGGTCATGTGGCTGGCACAACTGCATGGAATGCCGTTACCTTCATGCTGAAGCAGTACCTATTGATGTATTCACATTGGCATATTTTCAAACTACTAGGTTGGCAGAAGCTGGGGCTAACAGCAGGAGCTCACCCCACTCCCCGGATTTGAACTGCTGACCTTCTGGTCAGCAAATTCAGCAACTCGGCGGTTTAACCTACTGTGCTACCAGGGGTGCCTTGACTCAGATGGTAGCAAATAAATAAATAAATTAATGTATTGTCGAAGGCTTTCATGGCCGGAATCACTCAGTTCTTGTGGGTTTTTTCGGGCTATATGGCCATGTTCTAGAGGCATTTCTCCTGACGTTTCGCCTGCATCTATGGCAAGCATCCTCAGAGGTAGTGAGGTGTGTTGGAAGTAGGAAAAGGGGTTTATATATCTGTGGAATGACCAGGGTGAGACAAAGGGCTTTTGTAAGTTGGACTAGGTGTGAATCTTTCAACTGACCACCTTGATTAGCATACAATGGGCTGACTGTGCCTGGAGCAAACTCTTCTTGGAAGGTGATTAGATGTCCCTGCCTGTTTTTCTCTCTGCTGTTTTTGCTGTTGCAATTAAAAAAATTCTAAAATTGCAACAGCAAAAACAGCAGGGAGAAAAACAGGCAGGGACATCTAATCACCTTTCAAGAAGAGTTTGCTCCAGGCACAGTCAGCCCATTGTATGCTAATCAAGGTGGTCAGTTGAAAGATTCACACCTAGCCCAACTTACAAAAGCCTTTTGTCTCACCCTGGTCATTCCACAGATATATAAACCCCTTTTTTCCCAGCTCCAGCAGACCTCACCTCTGAGGATGCTTGCCATAGATGCAGGCGAAACGTCAGGAGAAATACCTCTAGAACATGGCCATATAGCCCGAAAAAACCCACAAGAACGAAATAAATTAATAGCAGCAAGCCTTATAAAAAACTGTCTGCTCCTATAAAAATGACAGCCATAATTCTCTCTAAAGAGAGGCTTACTGCAGTAAGTCCTTATAAAAATGGCCTCCACCATTCTGCTCCATTTCAAGTGCCTGGATGGCAGGTGCACCACTATTTTAAGGCTCCCCATGCTGCTGCTGAAATTGGAGATCCATTTTTGCAAAAAAAAAAAAAAAAACCCCAAAAAAACAAAACCTGACATCAACTTATATAGTAATATGGCGTTATATGTAAAATAATACATTCATGTTAGTGGCACACACAGATGCAGTGGCCAACAGAAAAGTTTACAGAAAGGAAATACCCCTGTTAACATAAAACAGTTCCAAATATTTAGCCTGCTATGAATCGAGTACACCATTCTAACTCTTACCTGAGGGTTTACTTTAGAAATGGCATTTAATGTTGTGGCTAAAGTTGAAGATCCTGCATCGTTTTCTTTTTTTATGTGCTTATCTGAACAGAAATTAAACAGACGCATTTAAATACTTACAAATACCTGTCAAAATAGATAAAATATTTATTTTCTCAACAAAACATAGACTGGCTGAAACAATTTCCTGCTCAAATAATGTGAACACCATCCTTTCCATCAAAGGCCCTTTATTTTTTTCATATGAGTAATAGTATCAACTGACTTGCAGAGAACTTAAAGACTAAGTTACATTAGTCCAGGGACAGACTACCTCAGAGAAGCCAAAAACTGCTTTCCTTACAACCTAGTCCACCACTTCCAGTTCCTCTAAAACACGGTACAGATTCCTTGTTTTAGAGGAATAACTACAGCATGAATTTCCCTTTTAAAAATGGCAAAGTAAAGGATCCAGCTTCCATTTTATTAGTGACTGGAAAGATTAAGATCTATTGGGTGGTACCACTATCACTGCAAAGGTAACCTAGATTAGCTCAGATCTTCACTGATTTACACTGAGGACTTAGAAGTGAACGATTGATTATATACATGCCATAAATACTACTGAGATAAATCATATATTCCTTTAAAAACTTAGGAAACACCACATTTTTCCCAGTATGTAAATACCATTTGTATTCAGATGAAATTTTCCTTCCTACCATAAAAATTAAGCATTTTGAATCAATACCATTTGCCTTTGCCATCTGGATTTCTTTGTTGCCATAGATATATATTGGTGGGAAAGCATCAAATAGATTACAGTTGAGACAACATCTGCTGTAACAGCTGTTAGCATATTGTGGTTACTTGTTTTTGATACAAGCAAAAACAAACATATTGCTGTTTTCTTAAAGGGGTGAAATAAATAAAATACTTGCACAAAGCACAAATCTGATCAAATTATAGATTGAAAACTAATCCACACTATGGCTGTTTTATTACAAGTTTTCTGGTACAGAAAACATCTCCTCCCCTGAATATATATAACTGAATGATATCCTTAATTGAAAATGGTATAATTTGTCACCTTTGACAAAACGCTGTGGTTTATTTCCTATGTAAATTATAGTATTCAAGGAGCAGGAAACTGGCATTAGATGATTTAGTGAAATTAATGATATTTCTCCATAGTTAAGATTACATCATGAATTATTATGCTAAACATCTCATTATTTTCATTATTTTATTACCTATTTTGACTCAGCCACATTTTGCCATTATGAAAAGACCTTTTTAAATAATTGAGTATTGCATCATAAAATATTACAGAAGATTAGGCACTAGAACATTTTTAACACTGAATTTTCTGTTCTTAATTAATATCATCTTAAAACCAATTTAATGCTTCTGTCGAAATTTTGTTTTCACTTAACACAAAATTTTGCATTTACTCGTTTGCTACAGTAGTATTTCCACATATTAATAAATACAGTATTAAAACATCATTAATCCTTTTAACAGCCACTGGATTTTTTTTACCCCTCTCTGACATCCAGTAATCTGATAACATGAACACTATGTATTTAATTGCCTCTCTGGCTGAGAAAAAGCACATTTGTTAATGCAAGAATCCATGATCCACTGCATTTCTTGATTACTGCCGAAATCACTGCACGACACTCCCAATTATAAGCTCCTCACCACATTAATTTCATAATCGCGATCATGATGTATTGTGCTACTAATATACAAATCACTTTATTGCAAGGGAATAAAAAACCAACATCTGAACCATGGTTTTCCAAGCCTATTTGTAATGAAGAAAAGGGGACAAACATAATTTGGCTTTTATCTGGAGATTACTTGCCCAACTAGATAAGCTTTAGACCTTAATACCAATATCATAAGTGAGAGATATCTTTTTTCCTTCTTTCACAATAGCATACAAACCAGTAAGCTAGAAATCCAAATATGAACTAAATAAATATAAAGTACTGCAGATATTTAAATCACAACAATGTGATGTGGCAGCAAAAAAAGCCAATGGGATTTTGGCCTGCATCAACAGGAGCACAGTGTCTAGATCTAGGGAAGTAATGCTACCCCTCTATTCCGCTTTGGTTTGACCACACCTGGAATATTGTGTCCAATTCTGGGCACCACAATTCAAGAGAGATATTGACAAGCTGGAATGTGTCCAGAGGAGGGCGACTAAAATGATCAAGGGTCTGGAGAACAAGCCCTATGAGGAGCGGCTTAAGGAGCTGGGCATGTTTAGCCTGAAGAAGAGAAGGCTGAGAGGAGATATGATAGCCATGTATAAATATGTGAGAGGAAGCCACAGGGAGGAGGGAGCAAGCTTGTTTTCTGCTTCCTTGGAGACTAGGACGCGGAACAATGGCTTCAAACTACAAGAGAGGTGATTCCATCTGAACATGAGGAAGAACTTCCTGACTGTGAGAGCCGTTCAGTGGAACTCTCTGCCCCGGAGTGTGGTGGAAGCTCCTTCTTTGGAAGCTTTTAAACAGAGGCTGGATGGCCATCTGTCGGGGGGGATTTGAATGCAATATTCCTGCTTCTTGGCAGGGGGTTGGACTCGATGGCCCATGAGGTCTCTTCCAACTCTTTGATTCTATGATTCTATGGGCTATCTGACAGTTTTCAGCTAATTCAGTCATGCAACCTTCTTTTTAAAACCTTCTCTTTTAGGTCTGGAAAACAATACAGCTACACAGAAACTTACCGCATTCTGCTTTATGACTGTGGGAAGACATCTTCTCTTTATGCCTACTTTTGGGGTAGTTTCTGTGTTCCTGAAGAGAGCTTTTTCTGTTAGTGCAGTCTGTGCTCTGTGTATTATCTGGTAAACAAGTGGTATAGTGCAATCCTGCCATAGAAAGCATGCCCTGAATAGCTTCTTCCTCCATACTTCTCGAGGTAGGATATTCCCTAAAAAATCAGTATAGAATACAGCATTGTTTCAGAGATGCAATATATACCAATATTCCTATTCAATGAAGTAACGCAATTTTGCTTGAAACTCTTCTATAAATTCAGTTCTCCCATTCTTTATCTCACCTTTTATTTGCAGTTTCATCTTTAGATGGCTTCTGTATGGTTTGAAAGAGATTGTATGTTATTTTAGATTCCTCCTTAACATTTGAAGTTACTTCCTGTTTCTCATCACCTGAGCATTCTGATTCCTCTGCAGAGGAATCCTTTTGCTAAATGAAGGAGAGGAAAACCCATTAGCACTTCATGGAATACACAATCAGTGCCTACAAGTAAACCACTTTTGAATGTTTTATTAACATTATTGTCTATATATTTCCCCATTCAGGAACATCTGGAACATCCTTCTATATAACAGAATTCTGAGTACTTCTGACATATTAACAGTGAAACTCACTGCCTCAGTGTATGGGGAGTATGGTAGAGGCTCTTTCTGTGGAGGCTTTTAAACAGAGGCTTGATGGCCATCCATTAGAGGTGCTTTCATTGTACTTTTCCTGCATGGCAGGGGGTTGGACTGGATAGCCTTTGTGTTCTCTTCCAACTCTATGATTCGATGATTCCCATTACAAGTTTATCACTTGTTAACTATATCAACTAGCCTAACAGTCTGCATGCCAAGTCTCCAGATCAGCTTTTTGTACACATTGATCCAGCCCATTGGCAGTGCAACCATCTTCCCCAACACAATTAGTAAGAAATAGCTCCCCCCTTTACAAAGGGACCCACTCCAAAGGAAGCACCAAAGGAATTGTAGTCTTATCCTGTTGCAGCAAAGGCAAAACAACTTGTGGTGCTTCCAAATGCAAAAGCAAAACAAACATTTCTTCCCTCCTCCATGCCCCCAGACAAGAATCCCTCCTATCATCAGGTGCCTGGGCTGCCCTCCCTTTCTACCCAACCATTTCTAGCAGGTTCCTCACAACCTGTGTGCCATCAAACATAGCCTCAGGTACACAACAAAATAAAAGCACCTGAAGAAAGTTCCCTAGAGCCCAGTTACATCCTGGTCTGACACAGCAGGACATAGTAAAATAGTATTTGGGGGGGGGGGGGGGGAGAGATTAGCTGGGTGCAGCTTGAGAGAAATAACCATGCAATTTGGGATTACGAGAGAAAATAGCAAGCCAGGCATCAGAGGAAGACAGTATGCCCACATCAGCTGCTGAAGAAACAGGGCTATGAAAATGGGCTCCATGCCTTTCACACTGCCATGAGCCTCATGACCACAGCTATGATGCTGCGGAAGGCCAAAATACAGGCATCATCTCTCTTCCCACCCTTGACTGGATTCTCTCACCAATACTAGCATTAGGGACCAACAGAGAGGAATTGTGACATCACTGGGAAGTAGGCTCTCAGTGTCTACATCGATTGGCTTGCTTCCCAGTGGCTGAAAGAAGGATCAAGGGCCACTGACATCACATAACGGAGCTGAGTGCACGCTCAGGTGCTCACTATTTGTCTGTTCAATACTCAGTTTCCTAGACTTTTCTTTCTTTCACAGATCCTCTGTGATGACACTGTGAACCCTGAGGGTCCACAGACTATTAAGAACAACTGCTCTAGTATTTACCTGGTTAGTGCAATCAGGTTCAGATTCTTCTGAATCAGAAATATCAGAGTATTGTGAGCTTCCATTCCTGAGTTCTGATTTCACACTTTCAAAAAACACTGGAAGAGTGAAAAAGGTTTTTCCCATTATGTCACACACAAACTTTTACAACTCCTTACTCTAAATGAAATTTTACCCAGTTATTGTACAATGCCTTGGAGCCAGTTCAATGGTTCTGATATATATAACATTTAATGAGATTATTTAATGCAAGGGTTTTAAGTAATCTAGGAATGAAAACTAACACATTATTTCCCGTTATTAATCATTAAGCTTCAAAAAATATGGTAACTATAAGGAAATGGTACAAATATATTTTATAAATAGAAATAATATCATTTTGATAGATAGAAAATAATCCCTGCTAGAATTTCAACATAAGATAGATCCAGTGTTATTTTTCATGGACAGTCATACATTTATACATGGAGAGGACACTGAATGTTGTAGAATTAGTAAGTCATAAAAACTGTTTGTTTCTTCAAGATTTGGGTGTTTATAAACTGTTCTCTGATTTTAAAGAATATAAATCAATTTTCCTTTTAAAATGTAATTTTGTTACATATTACCGTTATTTAAACCTGTATATTATCTTGTGGGCTGAAAGATTATTTTAAAAATCTTAACTCAATAAATAGGGGGAAAAAACACATTTCTGAACTGGACTTAAGACTGTAATGAGAATCTCCTGATACTGCAAATACTGAGGAATATGAAAATCCATCCTTCAGTCTTTTTAGTATTAAATTTTGATAATGTTTCATCAACGATTTATAAAATAACTGAATATATTATGCACAGTATATCTGGATTACTTGTTCAAGGAAAACAAACTCACTATTCAGTGGTTTTTGCACATCTGTGTTGTCTTCTGCTTCCTGGGAGTTCTGTTTTTCCTTTTTAATAGTTTTTTCTGTCTCTGAATTTATCTTCTCATTCTCATCTTCACTGTCTGCAGTATAAAGGCTTGAATCTCTAAACGGCTGCCTCCCATCCCTGTCATAAAGTAAAAAATGTTTATCCATTATGCCTTTGCATCATCTTTATTTTTCCATTTTATTAATGTCACAGTCCATTTTCAATGGTTGAAATGACTATAAAATTCTACTTGCCATCTATCAAGCAAATATGTGTTACCAATTTTATTAAACTGCATCGTAACATAGGTTTACCAAAAAAGCAGGAATTTACTTGTCTACAACCTGAATTCAGTCATACAGCATTATCCTAAACAATTTTTGAATAGACAGTGCAGAACTCTTTTCTAATTTTCACCTTTAAAATCCCTTTCAATAGTTTAAAAAACTTATGGTTAAATGACAGCTGGGCAGCTTGTTAGCAAACAGCATACTTTGGCAGCTTTCAGGATCCAATCTTCAGATACTGGCATCTCCTTTAATTTTTTTCCCCTTGACATTACAGACAGCACAAAAGAGTTTAACCATTTTCCCACAATCCGGTGAGGAAGTGTTCTTTTGACATGACAAGAAGGAATGGTAATAAAACTCAGCTGCCTGTTACTGTTTGAATGTTGCTACTTACTGCCAACATCCATTGACACAGACAACCCAAAGGGATGGACGGCACATCTACAATGACCATTAGAAATACATTTAGTATGTGAACAGTAGAGTCTTGCTTATCCAACATAAATGGGCCAGCAGAATGTCAGATAAACAAAAATATCGGATAATGCAGAGTCTCCTACTGTTACCCATCCGACGTGGTGCTAGGCACCTAGAATACTAACAACAGGGACTCAAAGGGTTAAGCCAAGGCAACACCTCAGGGCTAAAGTGGCCCAGCAGGAAGTGTCTGGATGAGGAAGAGGAGCGTGGAAATCACAGAGAGAAGGAGGGAGAACGTTTCCGCTTCCAGACCTGCCTCTTTTTCCCCTTTCCTCCTTCTTCCTCCTTGCGCTGAATAAGACAGAATGTCTGATAAGTGAAAGTCAGATAAGTGAGACTCTACTGTATTTATAGAATTTTCACAATGTGTTTTAACTGATTGTGGATGTGATTTTATAGCTGTAAGTTGTATTGTTAATGTTTTATTTAATTGCTTTTAACCTCATTTAGATTTTAACTAAATGTTATTTAATTGTTGAATTGTTTAAGGCACTGAATTTTGCCTCTGCTGTAAGCTGCCTTGAGTGCCTTTCAGGGTCGAGAACGACGGGATATAAATAACAGTAAATAAATAATAAATAAATAATAAATAAACTATGCTGTAACCCACCTCCAGCCACAAGGAAAGGTGGGTAACAAATATAATAATAATAATAATAATAATAATTATTATTATTATTATTATTATTATTATTATTATTGCAAATGGTATTGAAGAAAGTGATTTCCCAGTGCAGATGATTATATAGGAAATCCTGGAACCACTTTTGAGGTTCAGATGATGACAACACAAACCACAGAACACTGATGCACATGAAGGGCTTTCTTTCACATGTTTGTGTTCATTTGTTGTCTGGCCACTTCAAACAGAATTAAATGGTCAATTTAGATGTGCCCTGAAATCCCTTCTCAGCTGATCAATTAATTTCACTATAGGAGAATTGGCTTTTTATCTTCCTGACTTAGAATACAGCTTTGTTCTGTATTTCTTTCTCAGCCCAGGCCCATAAACAAAACGTAACATGAACAAGGTCTCCAAAATTGCCTGAAGCAAAAGATAAGTAGGGTTGTACAAGTGGGTATGTTTTATACCTAATTATTCTGCCATTTGACAACAAAAGCCGTAAATCGTTGTCCTTTGTTCTCCATTCAGGAACAGTAGAAGATGGCTGAAGAGGTTTGTTAAATCTTTCATTCAATTTATAATTTGCTGCATCCTAAAACAAAAGACAAAAAGGAAATTTCACCTTAATCTACTGATACTTTAATAAGCTATTTATCTGTGCAGTCTATATTGGAAGTAGCTGCTATGCTATAAAATTACTGATAGCACACAAAGAAGAAGATATTAATTATCAAGAACCGTTGTGGCTCCAACAGAACAGCTTCATGTGCACAATTTGCTTACACACACTGAGTTATAGCGACTCTTTCCAGTTCTAAAACAACTGATCTTATTTCTTTTAATTTAATCTATATTTTCCTGTATTATTTTAGATATGGTTCTATCTATATGAACTATATATTACTTGAGCTATGTGTTATTGGAAAATCACTGGTAACCTACTCAGTACTTTATAGAGTATTTTAGTCTTATGCCAATACTTGCCTCTTCCCAAGGGGACATCTCTAGCCTTTTGAGAACTTCCCTTGTGTGAAGCTCCAGAATATCCAAATTAGAAGGAGTTTTGACGGTATGATCTCGTAATTTCCTTGCTTTCCTTCTGGAATGATGAGTGGAAGCTACTTCATTTGATGATCGCGAAACTTGGCAAGTACTAATTCCCTGAGTTTTAACTGCTTTGCTGTTCTCCTCCTTTAAGTAAGAGAAAATTATAATAACACAGTTATAACAAATGGTATTGCTTTCAAAAAGCGACTACTTTTTCTTGACTTCTTCATAAAGCTTTTATCACTTGAATTTTGAATTATAAGAATTTTATTTACAGTATTTTAAGTACGTACTGCTAAAATGATAGAAGGAAAGTTTGGGAGTAGTTATAGCAGCAGCCAAGGAATTAATTTTCAAGAGAAAAGTGCCCAAGAAAAGGAAGGGGTTTAAGAAGTTGCATGTAATTTGATGCATTCAGGCAAAATTTTACAGAGGTCAACTTTTACCTCTACAGAACGAATCACTTTAGAGAGTTCTTTGATGAGCTGTCCAGGCCTAATATTGTCTGGAATTTCAAATGCATGTTCCGTTACAAGCTGTAAAGAAAACGGGAAAATCAGATGAATTTATTTAAATATCGATAAGATATACAGTTTTACTTAAAGGAATTTAATATAGACAATTAAAAGAAAGTAAATATTCATTTAAAATTATAGTAATGCACTTGAACTTACATCCTTCTTCATCCATAATTTTAAAGCAGAAAGTAAAGCTTTCACTCCTTGAATTAAGAAGGTCTGGGGCTGAAAACCATCCTCCCGAAGCTCTAGAAAAAAAATATGAGATGTGCATCAGTGTCAAAATTTATTTATTTACAGCATTTTTACCCCGCCCTTCTCAACCCCTGAGGGGGGACTCAGAGCGGCTAACAAAGGCAGCAATTCAATGCCACAGTCAATAACACAGTATAAAACCATAAATACATACAGAGTTAAAACTGATTCATCAATTGACTTCTCTCTCAGTTTTAAAGCCTGTTAAAGATAATTCAAGTATTCAAGTTTCTGAAAAATTGTAAAATGAAGTTCAAGAGTACAGCTTTATAAAAATAAGCTTTTAAAAGTTAAAAAAGATGGTCCTTTATTAACAATCCAGCATGCACTACAAAGGCATGATGGCTTTAATACAATTATAGCCATTTTACAATGTAAATGTTTTTAATTTAATTTTTAAGTGCAGGCCATTACCTATAAAGCTCTTTACAGTTTGGGTCCAGTCTATTTACATGACCACGTCTCCCCCTATGAACCCATTCAGTCCTTAAGGTCCTCCGAGGAGGCCCTTCTCAGTTCCACCAGCCTCATAAACGCAACTGGTGGGAATGCAAGAAAAAGCTTTCTCAGTGGTGGTGCCCCGGCTCTGGAATGCTCTGCCCAAAGAAATCAGACAGACCCCCCCCCCCCACACACACACACACACTCTGAACACCTTCAGGAAGAAACAGAAAATATGGACGTGGAAGCAGGCGTTCGGAAATTATTAACTATAATTTATGATGATTATGGCTTTTATAATTGTACAAGCACCAACTGGTTTGAACTGGTTTTGCCCTGGTGCACAATACATTTTAAATCCTGCTAAATTTAATCGTTACATTTTTATTCTTGCTTGATTTTGTATTTATTTGTTGTAAGCCGCCCCCAAATCCTTTTGGAGAGGCGGTGAGATATAAATAAAGTTGTTGTTGTTGTTTTTGTTGTTAAATTCATAATTCCTTGGAAAATAAGTATAAAGCTATCACAGCCAACTCCTCCCTCAAATGCAGCATTATTTCTACACAAAACCACATAATTACTCCAAATAAACAAAACAATACTGAGCCAAGCAACTGTCAGGACTCAATACAGCATGAGATTTTATAACAAATCAGTACAGGAAGCAAGTCACACATGACACTAAAAAGTCTTGTAGAAATTCCCAGCCTTGGAAGAAAGTAGCTTTCAAGCCCCTATTCCATGTTGTTTTCCAGGGATAATCAGAGTATGAAGCAAAAACAGGATATTACTGGGGTGCAAACTCATTCAACTTTCTTCACACTTGTGGCATCTTCACCCACCAAGGGAAGGGTACGGAACAGTACTGAATTTCTATTCTAAGAAGATTTTTAAAACATGTAAAATACAATGTCTCAAAGGATAGTTAGGAGGCTGACCCGTATTCCAATTCACATATCAGCACATAGGCATCTTAAGTTAAATGCCCTTTGAGGTCCTTTCCAGCAATATGATTTTAACTCATCCTCCCTCATCCATCTGTAATATGGGGATAATGATATAAAAACCTGATGATATCTATAAAGAATGCTTGTATCACAACAAGAAATCTAACAGAAACCATACTTGCATTCACAGGTTCTGACTCTCGTGCAGTTCTTCCTCATTCCACTGCTCTGAAGAGGATATTTAAGGATTATATGCTTTAGGAGTTAAATGCTACCTAACCTAAACCTGTTAATAGCTAATACAGAACGATTTATTCCTATATCTAACCACTTTAACCAGATTCTTTTCATTAACATATGCATTGTGTTCTTTCTCAGAGTTAAAACTACAGAAGCAGATAATCATCTTCTCTAGTGATCTATGTAAACAGATCACTGAAATGCATCACTCATCCATAATCTCCTTAGTGTTTAAAATGATTTTTGTCATAACAAATGAGGGAGATTGATGGTTCTGTCATGATAAAAACTTTTCTGGGTGCCACGAAATTCTAAAACATGGATGAGTTACTGAGCTAAACTATTGTTCCTCCTAAATCACATGTGAGCAACTATCAGCAAACTGTTATATAGAAGCACTAGCCGTCCCCTGCCACGCGTTGCTGTGGCCCAGTCTGGTGATCTGGAAAATAAAGTAACGAGAAAGTATTGGTTTTTAATATATGTAATTTTTATGCTTGTGGGTAAACGGTATTTCTTGCTGCTTCTCTGTCAGTGTATATGTGGGGATTGTCTGGTTTGCTTACTCTGGAAAATGCAACATAGAATTGTCCTTCTTTAGGGATCCCTTTCAAATCTATGATACTATATCGTAGTGTGTGTGAATCATAAATATATATCTATATCTATGACTGGATGGCTCTTTTGTCAAGAGGGCTTTGATTACGTTTTCTTGCCCTGGTGAAGGGAGTTAGACTGGATGGCCTTAAGGATTTTCTGTTGGTCATAGGGGTTCTGTGTGGGAAGTTTGCCCCAATTCTGTCGTTGGTGGGGTTCAGAATGCTCTTTGATTGTAGGTGAACTATAAATCCCAGCAACTACAACTCCTAAATGTCAAGGTCTATTCCCCCCAAACTCCATCTGTGTTCATATTTGGGCATATGGAATATTCGTGCCAAGTTTGATCCAGATCAATCATTTTTTGAGTCCACAGTGCTCTCTGGATGTAGGTGAACTATAACTCCCAAACTCAAGGTCAATGCTCCCCAAACCCTTCTAGTGTTTTCTGTTGGTCATGGGAGTCCTGTGTGCCATGTTTGGTTCAATTCCATCATTGGTGGAGTTCAGAATGCTCTTTGATTGTAGGTGAACTATAAATCCCAGCAACTACAACTCCCAAATGACAAAATCAATTTTTGAGTGATGGTCACTCCTTGGGTTAGGAGGTGTCTTGAGGCCAAATTTGGCGGCAATTCGTCCAGTGGTTTTTGAGTTATGTTAATCCCACAAACAAACATTACATTTTTATTTATATTTCTGCACAGAAATCGTACTCTCCACAACCTGCCAAAGTACTGCAAGAGAATGAAATGTCACAGGAAGCATGACAACAGTGAAAACCCTCTTCCTATATTAGTTTTTTCAGAGGGAGAGATAGAGAGGGAAAGAGAAAAAGATAATGAGTGTGAGGACTGTGTATGTGAAGACCATACAGCCCCTTTAGAGAGCAGTGCAAAAATGTGTCCTTGAAAGGAATATTAATCTTCACTTCATTATAGCTATATTTCACACAAACAACTTTTTTTATTTGAAGATACACCAAAAAAAAAACAAAAAACAGACACATCAGGAATATCTAGTTTCTATAGCATGGCTCCATAGCCAATTTTCACCAGATTGCACTGAAGATGCAGATATTCCTAGAGAGGTTCTCTCTCTAGAAATTTCCAGGACCTCCAGCATGACTCTATCTGCAACATCTGGCCGAAGATGCTCATACGGGTATCCTGGAGGACCCAGAGAGTTCTAGAAAAAATATTTTAATCAAATCCTTGAATAATCAAATCTGCAAAAGTCAAATACACATATGTGGAGAGCCACAAAGACCATATGATCATTTTTGACTGTGGGTTATTTAACTGGTAAAACTGTTATCAATTATCAAAACTGAGCAATGTACCTATATAGACATTTTCCTACTGTGAAGTTCATCTTAAGAAATGAAGTTAGTTACCTTTCAAAGTTTCCAGCAAGTTTTTGGCCACAAACCAACAAATGGCTTCAAAGAAAGGGAATTTGAAAAGATCTGGGGTTTTTAACCTCTTCTCCATTTCGTAACACCTAAAAATGTTAGAAGATTTATATTACAATAAATATACATACGATCTCTGTTAAATGTGTTCACCCAAATAACCTGTATAACAAAACAAAAAAGTCATTCACAATAACATAATCAGAAGTTTCTCAGAACTTCTCCGCCAATTTAAGATACTTAAACAAATAAGAAAGTCCCAAGACTAACCTGAGCTGCATGCCAATATTGAGGTTGTGCAAAAAGTTCCCTCCAAAAGCCATACAGTCCTGAGAAGTGAGTACAGCATGAATCCAGCCTGAAAAAAACAAGTTAAACATATCTCCATTATAAAATGTTTTGTATGATATCAAAAAGAATGGACTATATTTTGCACTTCAGCCAAAATATGCGATAGGGGCAGTCATTTTGAAGGACAGGCATACAACACTGCTTGAACCAATGCTTTACCAATATAATATTGCTATTACTAAACTTTGTAGAGGATAAAAATATGCCAATACTGATGTCTCTATGTCCTTCTCTCAAACTGATCTATGATTGCTCAGTACATAACAATCACTGAAAAGAACCTGATTTATGAGTTCTTTAAACACCAGTCAAGAAACTCAACATACATGAGTATCTGAAGGAAACATTTTACCTGTTGGAACAAATAAGGTATGCCCTTGCTTCACAACACATTTGTAACATTTGTCAACTTTATCTCCAAAATACACTTCACTCTGGATGACAGATGAGCTCCAGGATTCATAGATTGCCAGATTTTCATCAGTGGGTTTGATCAAATAGAATATCTTCTCACCCTATAAATATAATAGAATTCCATGAAGGGTTGTAGATCTTTTCTGCCTTTACATAACTGTTTTTAATGTCAAACCATACAAGTATAGAAGGCTGTATTATGTTGATTTATAGTTGCCATTTAGAAAATAATGATATTTTTAAAGGGGTTATGGGATTGAGGAAGGTTTAATTTCTTAGTTTCCTATCAAACTGGTCATGCAAAGTCTTAGCAATGTGAAGAACAATTATGCAAACGGAAAAGCAAACAATTAAAAACCAATTAGTTTCTCTAATTATTATGCCTATTACTGTCCAGATTAAAACATTTTTAAGTTGATAGGTTAAGTCACAAGATGCTAAAATGTGTGATCCATTTGCCTAGATCAAGATCTTCAACACACAATTCAGAAATAATCATAATTATTTCTAAATGATAACTCTATATACTATATATTTAGAAAATCAACATTCTTTTCTTACCCAGAGAACATGATACCAGACAGAAGTGCCTCCAAAATCAATATGAAAGTCTGTGTAGCTATCTTGGACTCCCATTAGGCAGTACTTCTGAACAAAAGGCTTAGGAAACACTGAATCATCTGGCCAATAGTTTTCTACCCATGAAAGTTTTCTGGCAATTTCTGGTACTTCCACCAATTCAGACATCCTTAAAATATAAATGACACAAAACTAAATAAGATCACAGTGACTGAGTTTCAGTTTTGACATGAGTATGCAACATTTATCTCCCCTTCCACCACTATTTGATTCCCCTGGCCAAACAAACAGATTAGGGATGCAATATGAATGTGTGTGTGTGCCTGTGTGTGTGATTTCAAGTCACTTGTCAACTTATAGCATTTTCCTAGGCAAGAAATACCCAAAGGTGGTTTCGCCAGCTCATTCCTCTGAAATACAGTGTACAGCACTTGGTATTCACTGGCAGGCTCTCATCTGAATGCTAACCAGAGTTGACCCTGCTCAGCTTGCTAGATCAGGCAGGGTTTGATACATTTTAGGATATTTAGGCTGCTAAAGAAGGGGTAAGAAAAAGGTGATTCTTCAGATGTTTTTTGGTCTGCAGTTCTAATACCGCAATACCATGGGCTTATAATGACCCCATTTCTGAACTACAAAGATGAAGACAGTTTCAGTTCATAATGTGAATTAATCATTTAGCATTTTCTGTGTACACTGCATGCTACATTTAAATACAATATAAGGCTAATAACATCTATTTAATCTAGTCTTTACATCTAGTATTTAGGTGAAAGTCAACATGCAGTATTTTGATCGTTACACATAAACACACGTCTTACTCCAAAATACTGATTTTTCTTTCTCAGTGATCAAAATTTTTTTTAAAAAAGTTTTGTTTTATCATTTGAGAGCAATATAAAAGCATAAATCTAAGATCAAATGTTTGGAAATCCTAAAACAAATGGAACTTATAAATGCAATGCTTATGACGGCTGACAACAAATTTGAACAAATAAACATCAAAATGAATTGGAAAGCACCGACCTCTAAAGAACAAGAGACACACAGAAAAGATAGAAAAAATGTCAATATCCAGCCTAAACAAACTTTCACTTTCTCAAGGAAGAGGAAGAGAAGAAATATGAAAGAAGGGAGATAGTTAAGCCTGGTAAAAAGAAGGCAGGTGGATGAAGAGGAAAAATGAGAATTAAGAAGAAACAGGTATAAAATGGAATCCAGGTTGTGATCCAGTAATGTGGATGAAATAACAAGGATGTCAAATGATGGGAGTGAATGCAGAACCGACAGAGAACCCAAAAATATTACTAAACTTAATCTCCAATACCAATTGGCGAAAAAAGAACCTTTTAAAAGCAGATGCAAAAGAAGAGAGAATTCCCAAGATTATGTGTGAATGGAATTAATGATTCAGGGATTGATTGAAAGGGAAAAGGGGGGGGGGTAATCTATTTGGTAATTTAATTAAACATTAATAAGACTGTTAAAAAGTTTTAAAGAAGAATATGATATTAAACTTGATTAAAAATTTGAAAACAGATTTAGAATGTTATCTTGAACCCCATGATTAAGTATTAGAAAATTGATACACATATACGTTAAATATGCATATTAAGGTGGTTAAGGTAGTCAAATCTCTCATCGACGAGAAATTGGTTAGTAGAAGGATAAAGATACATAGTAGATGTAATAAATTTTTGGTTATGGAAAGTAGTATTACTATTAATATTGCATATGTGTGTGTATTTTGTACTAAGCACCCACCCCAAATTTAAGTAATTTTGTAAAATGACATTAACTAAACTGAGGGATCATGGTTAAATCAGAAGAGTTTTTGAATTGATCAACTTTAATAAATTAAATTGGGCTCCAATATTTGAAGAATGGGAAGTTTGGCTTCTAATCAAATTAATATATATACTTTACAAAAAGAAATCAGGAAAATGATAATCCAAGAGTTGTAGGTGGAAAATATTATTACTATTAGTGTTGTATGTATATGCTCATCCTTAATACTAAGTACCCACCCAAAATTCAAGAAATTTTGTGAAACAGCATTAACTAATAAGATTGAGAGGGGCTAGAAAAAAACAGTGGTTAAATGGAATTATATAGATCTGATGTACTATAAAAGAATGGAAGCATGTTAATTATAAAATAACATAAATACTAACCTACTAGCAATTAAAATGAAAATTGTAGAATTTTCTTTATGGGTAACAATAAATAATTTAAGAAAAGATTTAATGTGAACCAATTGTTATGAAAATTTAAGATCAACTTTCACTGAAGAAGAACCGGGAAAGAATATATGAAGACCAAGAAACTAAGTGAGAAGACACAAGAAGACACAATTAATGGACTTAAAATTAAAATAGTTAGAATCTGCCAATATTATACGAAATGTGTGTTAAAGAAATAGAGACAAAGACTCAGTTGTAGCAATGATAACCTTGTAAAATAATTCCCCATACCCCAACAATCCTCATCCTTTTTGTTTTCTCCTTGTGCTATATTGGATTTTTTAGTAAAGATGCAATTTACAATAACCTCCCACACACACACACACACAAATAATGTATTTTTTCATTCTCTTTTCCCCCTGCCCCCCACTCTCAGAGTAAATGTTAAATGTAAAATTATCTAATAGATAGATAGATAGATAGATAGATAGATAGATAGATAGATAGATAGAGATAGACAGACAGACAGACAGACAGATATATGTTAGTACGGTCAGAATTCTGTATCCACTGATTGTACATCCAAGGAGTCAACCATCCACGTGTTGAAAATATTTTTTACAATTCCAAAAGGCAAACCTGTATTTGTCGTTTTATATAAGGGACATAATTTTACTAAAACATTGTATACAATGAGATTTGAGCATCCATGGATTTTGGTATGGGGAAGGTATCACTGTATATGTATTCGTTTGTAACAGCATAAAAATGCTGTTGGGAAGGATTGCATTTTCTTGTGAGACAGGCAGCAATAATTAACATTGCTTGGTTTGTGTGAAGAAACAAACTTCATTATTTTAGCTATACACTTCAAGAGGTTTATAACAAGATGAGACCACAAGATGGGTAGAGTGGGTTACATGACCGAAAGATATGACAGCTTCTCCGTTCCTTCATATTAGATTCATAAAAATCATGAATCTCATTTCATTTATTACGAAGAAATATAATTAATTAATATCTCACTCCCCCACCTCTTATGGGACCTAGGGTGACACACCACTTTTGGGACAAAAACCTGCTCAAAATAAACCCAAGGTGCACACTGGTTTGTTTTTTGCTATTCGTCTTTGAAGAATGATCATGGATACAGTTACCGCATATGACTGGAAGTTTTGCCTTTGTTTAAACAGGATTTTAAAATGTTATTTTCAAAGACAAATTCTACTGCAAAAGAAACAGTATGGGAAAAAACTATCTAGATGCAATATATATATATATATTTAAGTCCATGTTTTGTCAGATCAATGGGGCTCATTCAAAATTATTTTAATGCAATCCTTCAAAGCTTTAAACAGAAGTATAGTGGTCAAATTACTATTATTACTTGCAAGTATCTCCAAAATGCCACATGCCAGCTTCCATTATTACCAGGCTTTATAAAACCAAGAAAATATACCACAAAATTTATTAGCTAACATTTAATATAATCCTCTTCCTGTCATTACAGGGTTATTTTTTAAAAAAGTATACAAATTCGATACTTACTTCGTGTCTGAGAATTCAAGACTGATAACATTTAATACTTTTGGTCTGTCAGGATTTGTGAAATACTTCACATAATTATGGAGCTTCATTTTACTGTCTGCTTGTCTTGCCACATCAATGACATCTATCACTTTATCACCACCTGTACAAACAAAATATTCTTAAGTCTGTACACAAAACAAGAACAGCCAGGTAACAAATATCAATTAATTTCATAGCTAGGGATTTTTTTCTAAAGTACAGAGATTTTGGAAAGGCATCAATTTCTACATAACCAATTTGTACTATTTAAGAATAGTGGGACTTGTTCTTTTTTAAAAAAAATCGGTTTTGGCACTTTTTCACTGCAAATGGTTAAGCAAAATGTGTACAACGCTGATATAATTTATTGTCAGCATTGCTGGAACAGCAACAGTGAAGCTGAAGATATCAGAAGTGTGCCTTTTGGAAGAGTCTTATTTTTTTGTATTTTTATATTGTGTCAGGAGCAACTTGAGAAATTGCAAGTTGCCTCTGGTGTGAGAGAATTGGTTGTATTCAAGGACATTGTCCAAGGAAAGCCCGGATGTTTTTGATGCTTTACCATCCTTGTGGAAGGCTTCTCTCATGTCCCCGCATGTGGAGCTAGAGATGACAGATTCAAACCCCCGACCTGTCAGTCTTGGTCCTGCCAGCACAAGAGTTAAACTCATTACGCCGCTGGGAGCACCGGAAGAGTCTCGTGAACTAATTAGATTGCAGACAAACTTTTAAGGTGTACAGCTTAAATGAAGAGCAAATAAAATGTGGCACTGATCAATTAAGGTTTGGTTTTTTTACTTTGATTATTCATGCAGCCATGGAACAAAAAGAGGTGTGGTGGCAGGAGCTACAGCTTCATCTTACCTCAAGCTCAACAAGTGGAGAAGGACAAAGAGAAGGAGAAGGAAGCGGATAGCAACAACACACTGCCATGTCCCAAGTATTCAGAGCATATTACAACCTTTGTCATCTTTGCAGCCTCTGCTTCTGCCCCTAGCCTAACCAAGCTACTTCTACCATTTATGCAGAACGCAAGGGAAGCTGTGTGAATTAATAGTGCTAGTACTGTGCAGGCTAATAATTACTATTCTGTACTAGCCAGAGACCTGCTTTTAACAAAATAAAATCAAATTAAAGATTGGAATGACAAGGAGTGAGGGGGGGGGGGGAAGCAGGACATTTTTAAAACAACTGAGAAATAAAAAGGCAGTCAAACAAAGAAACAAGTGTGACTGCCCATTGAGACTAGGACTACTGTGGGAAATGCCTCTATAGATACCATTGTCTATGAATCTTTATAAAATATGTTTTTGGGTTTTTTTTAAAAAAAATCTTAACTTCTAACCTTATACATACCTACACATTGTTCCACATCCAGAACAGAAAAAGTAGGGGGTGGAAGTCTGAGACCTAAGCCATCCAATTTAGGGATCATAATGGGGACATCAAAGCCATGCTTCTCCAGATATCTTTGTGTCAACTGGCTGCCATGCATTTTTAAAATGATTTCATCAGCACTAGAAAAGAAAACACATTTGAAAATCAACCATCAATAGTCTTTAACAGAAACATGAGAATTTACTGACACTTGATCCAAGAGCAGCAACTAATTGTGTAATAGCTGCAGTTAAGTAAGACACCAGAAGCATCTTGAATTCTCTGTGAAATGTAAGATTTCTGCCCTCCACAACATCTGCAATGATTAGGTATTTTCAACCATTTGTTTTAATCCTGACTGCAATGCTGTAAACTGATACTACAGAACAAACTGCTCAATCAGGGTACAAAAAGCAATTTTTTCAGGCATGAAGTTAGAATCATTGTTTGAAGCAGCTACAGAAACCAGATTTATCCCATTTCAGATTATTCCTAATGCATTTCTTACCTGGTGAATGAACGAGCACGTAGCTGTTTAATAAATGTTCGTGTTCCAGCTTGAACTGGCTTGGAACCATCATCCAATTCTGTATAGTCATGTCTGTGCCAGTTCCTTCTTTTCTTCACTAGACAGTAAGAAAGAACATTTTAATTAACTTTAAAAATGAAATGAATGAAATTTATTATGATCAACAAAATCAGACACGCTTTTAAAATTAATTCCAGTTAATACATTTATGGCATAATAATTCATGTCAGACTAACACTAAGTAGACACAGGTTCAAATATCCATGAAGCTGACTCAGTGACATTGGCCGAATCACTCTGTCTTAAACAAACACAGTTTAATATTATTTCATGATCTTGGCTATTTTGATTACTACATTGGTCTGTTTATCCTTATATTTGTTTTTTAAAATTTTTATCTGGATAATGTATTTTATAGTTGTAATGTATAGTTTTAAATTATTATTCATAGATAGATAGATAGATAGATAGATAGATAGATAGATAGATAGATAGATAGATAGCAACAATTCTTACAGGGCTGTTGCAAGGATAAAATGAAGGGGAGGGGGGATGGAAAAAAATATAACACCTTAGGCCTTTTGAAAAAAGGTATGACACTGATGTTACAAACAGGTAAGAAAATGTGTACTGTGCATATGCATTACTCAAATTGCATGGCTGAATGGAACCAAAAACCTCAGGCTCCCAAGTCTCAGTGCAACACTATACGATGAATTAAATTTTGTTCGCACATTTAGCCCAAATTTATGGAAAAAAATGATGCTGAACAGGGATGTAATTAACTTAAAACAATCTGTTCAGTTTTTGCAGTTGAACCAGGTCATAGTTTCACACAAAAGGTTAAAACGAATTATGTCCATTACAATATACCACATATATTCATGCGTAAGTCAGATTCATGTATAAGTTGAGGGCAGATTTTGGGGCCAAAATTATGGAATTTGATACAGAAGCTCCTGCCATTATTAAAACAGACTCCATGTAGCAGCCGTTTTATGTGCACCAAATCTCAGTGTGTGTAACTTTTTGCAGAACGATGCATATCATTCTTTCCATGTGTACACACCTGTTTTTTCAAACCCAATGACTACTTTGGAAAGCAGCCAATGGCATCTGACAGTTATTAAGGTAGGCAGCTGCACTACAAAAGATGCAAGACAAAGCTTCAGATGTAACTGAACTCCTCTAAAGAACAAATCAGAATGTCTGTTAAAAAACTTGTGAGACATACAAGTAGTTTTACCCTAACAAACTGAATTTATTTTAAAGGCAGAGTATTACACAATCCAAAATACTTAATGTTTGGTCTAAAAAGACTTAGCTGGATTTAAAATAAAAACAAACACAATTCTAATAGAATTCAAGTGACTGGGAACTAAAGTTCCTCAATTCTAAGATAGACCCCACCCCATCCCGACCGCCCCAAGGTGTGTGCTATCTATCTATATATATCTCTACCTATATCCTTTTTCTCTTGGTGGTACTGAAATTAGGGCGCATCTTGCAACTGATGGCATCTTAGAATTGAGGAAATACTGTTAAGTAATGTAATGGACAAAATGCACAAATAGGCTAACCAACCCACAACAATAATTAAACTGCAACTTCAAGGGAGTTTCAGAAATGGTAGGTAATTATCCTGTAATGATATATTACTCTCTAATTAAACTTTAAGAAAACATATTTATCAGTTAAACATTATGATCTAACATGAAAAGTAATGCTACAGAACTTGCTTAATAAGGAGGCTCAGCAATATTTAGAAATAATTTCAAGCAACTTGCTTTAAAATACATTTCCAAAAGCAAACAACATTTGAATGTATCAATTTCTACTTCAGTAGTAATCACTGTATCTAACCTGAGACTCTTGGGGTACTAAACAGATATAGATATTAAAAAGATAAATAAGATGCAAAAACTCAGGAGAGATCTATCTCCATTATTACTACTCAAGAAGGCTATTAGAGAGAAGTTTTATTCGGAAATATATTCAGTCTTCCCACAAAGGGTTTTTTTAAGGACTATCATTTTGTGCAATTTACCTAGCACCTGTCCTCTAACACTTCTGATTTTTGTAAACTCCTCCTCCTAGCTCTCTGGTGCTAAAAAAAGAAGCCCCTTTTCTGCTTTAGCATGAAAGAAACTGACAGGGCCATATCATACATGCCAGAAAGCACCAAATCATTAATGCCATCTGCCAACTGAATCTAGCAACCTGAAGTCTTGAAAGTGGCACTGAATACATCAGGAACCAAACAGGTTATGGAATATCAGACAAAGGTTAGGAGTTCAAATGATATTCTTACAAACAATGATTTAATCAAGAATGTAAAAAAGCATTGAGGTTGTGATGATTACTGGCAAGATACATTTTATAGAGATTCTTCAGACACGGCATCTACTATATAATAGAAAAGGTTAGATACGAATACATAAAATGTGAAAGCTGAAGAAGTGTATCTATGTCTGACAGCTATATCCCCAGTCAGTGCAAAGGTAACAACTAGGTCTCTTAATAAATTATGGTAAAGAGAAAATCAAGCAAACGTACAGAACACAAAGAACATGATAGGCATGCATGTTAATAAGAAAAAAAAGCTATGCTAAACTACAAAGACATAGTAAAATAATACTCCTGAAACAGTAACTAGTTGTTTAGGTCTATAGTTTATTATGGGTAGACAATAAATACAACTGGACAGGCAATAGCAATGCGTATTTAAAGATTTTGCATTCTAGAACAGGGTAAATAGACTCCCAGAGGATTCTCTAGAGTATGAGATACAGTTTTTTCAAAGGAACATGGCAAGTACCAAAAGATACAGTGAAATCTTCTTTCATCCAAGGTAGACCTGATTCTAAGTGGAAAACATTCAGAGGAACTCTGAAATAGAAATACTACATCTTAAGTAATTTTAATACATTTGTTTAAAAATAAACCAAATGTTAAGGCAAAACAAGGGCTAGATGAAGACAAGATGTAGAAAACTGGCAGGTTTTCAAAGACGTCTCACAGCTGAAAATGGGAAATAGATAAAGAAATAAAATAGGAAAAAGAAATTGCAATTAGAAAGAGTTAAAACATCTTTGTAGTGTTTTATGCACTGAAAATATCTATGTACTGAAAATATACAATGTTACTATATCAGTATTGTATTGTTTATGCTTGTCAACTGCTTGGGAGCCTTATTAAGGAATGCTGGAGTGTAAATGACTACATAAATAAACTACATTGCTGTTTTAAAAGCCATTACTTACTTAAGGAGGGTCCGTGAAGAACTGCACAATTGGGACAGTGGTACAGGTCAATGTCAACAGCATGGTGCTCTTCTACTCTGACACAGCTAAAAAGAGAAGAAAAGATCTTCACGAACTCTTTAAATTAAAAACTGCACCTTCACCTGAAAACTATCAGGTCTTATTTGTAATGATGTTATACCATTCTGGATGCCAGGCATGGAGTACGGCTTCCTTTTTTCTTCATAGGCCACTACTGAGACTTAGAAAATAAGATATCCTTTACCCGATATTTATTGCAGACTGCATCTAGATTATGCAAATGGTGCTCAGTCCCACTGATTTCAACATGAAACATGTGGCTAACTGCCTGGATCAACCCCCACCCTCCAAAAATGCAAATAAACAATTGTACCTTCGTCCCACTTCACTGTTGTATACCAGATCCATATTTTCTTCATTTTAGGACTACACTTTGTAATCTTACATCTGGCAAAGTCACTCTCTTTCCCCTATTGTATTTGGCTAACAAAGGCATGGATGTGCTTCAGGTCCAGTTTCACTGACACAAGTCTTTACAGTGAAATGGTATGCTGTTACGATCAGAGTGTCATACTGGGAGACCCATCTTCAAATATCCATTTAGCTCACTATCTCACACACAAGGTAATTGTGATTAGAAAATAATGGTAATAGAATAATTTACACCACCTTGTCTATCTACCTTGGAAAAAAATGGATGGAAGTACACTGTAGGAATGCAACTCATTCTAGACACCGTGAAAACTATATACATGAAATAATCTAAAGGAACAGCTGCAACTGCACTAAAGGCATCTTGGGTGTCACACAAAATGACTATCCCATTTATCAGACAAATGATATTGGTATAGAAACATCTGCCTGTGTCATAATACTAAACCAGTACCAAAAGAAACAGAAATTCACTGGGCATTTATTTCCCAGTGATATCAATATGACTAAATTTCAATGGGATATGGGTGTAATTAGTACACAAACTGAAGGTCTACAGCAGGGGTCCCCAAACTAAGACCCGTGGGCCGGACGCGGCCCCCCGAGGGCATTTATCCGGCCCGCGGGGTGTGGAGAAGGTTGAGAGGCGGGGTACAAAGCGGCGTCAAAGCCGCTTCGCCCCCCGCCTCAGGCTTCGCTTCTCCTGCCTCCGGGAAAAAGCCTGGCCTTATCCCAAAGGCTGGAGAACAGGGGAGGCTGGAGCAGAGTCCTCTCTCCCCACCGCAGCACGCAGCGCAATCCGGGGCGCATCCCAGAGTGTAGACGCCGCAGGGCTCCCCCGGCGTGCGCGCCAGCCCCGCACAGCCCTTGGCCTCCGCGCACGAGGACAACGCCTTACAACCAGAGCCCCGGGCGGCAGCAGCAGCAAGAAGCAGGCAAGCAGCCATCGAGGCCACGGGGAGGGGGAGCAGCAGAAAGAAGAGCATTGCGAGCATGGCGAGGGAGAAAGAGAAGTCCTTGTGGCGCCCACATGGGGGTTCTGTGTGGGAGGTTTGGCTCAATTCTATCATTGGTGGGGTTCAGGATTCTCTGATTGTAGGTGAACTATACATCCCAGCAACTACAATTCCCAAATGTCAAGATTCTATTTTCCCCAAACGCCACCAGTGTTCACATTTGGGTATATTGAGTATTTGTGCCAAGTTTGATCCAGATCCATCATTGTTTGAGTCCACAATGATCTCTGGATGTAGTTGAACTACAACTCCCAAACCAAAGGACACTGCCCAACAAACCCTTCCAGTATTTTCAGTTGGTCATGGGAGTTTTGTGTGCCAAGTTTTGTTCAATTCCATCGCTGGTGTGGTTCAGAATACTCTTTGTTTGTAGGTGAACTATAAATCCCAGCAACTACAACTCCCAAATGACAAAATCAATTTTTCGAGTGAAGAACATACATTGGATTGTTAGGTGTCTTGTGACCAAAATTGGTGTCAATTCGTCCAGTGGTTTTTGAGTTCTGTTATCCCACAAACGAACATTACATTTTTATTCATATAGAAGTGTGGGTTTGGGGGGGGGGGGGTTGTGGGTTTTTTGCACTGCAAATAAGATATGTGTTGTGTGCATAGGAATTCATTCATGTTTTTTTCAAATTATCATCCGGCCCTCCAACAGTTTGAGAGACTGTGACCCGACCCTCTGTTCAAAAAGTTTGGGGACCCCTGGTCTACAGTGTTTCCTCGCTACTTGGTGGTTCACTTTTGCAGACTCGCTGTTTTGCGGTTTTTCAATACAGTAAATACAGTAACATATATATTTACTGTGGGAGATGCGAGCCTGGGAAGCTACCTCCTGCAGGTGCCCCACTTGCCCAGCTCCTCCTCCTCACCTGCTTCCTCCTCCTTCTCTTCCTCACTCTCCCTTGCAGATGGGAGCCCTTCCAGGTTGAAAGCAGGAGAAGGATGGGAAGGAAGGAAGGACAGGATGGACAGGTCAAGATGGGCGAATGGCAGGTGGGTTGGGAGAGAGAAGGGGGGACCTGCATGATGTCAGAAGACCAACCCGGTGAAGCATCACTACTTTGTGGATTTTCAGTTATCAGGGGTGTTCCTGGAACGTAACACCCGCGGTAAGTGAAGGAACACTGTATTCAAGTCCAGAATGCCTACTACTAGATGGCTTCTTTGAAAAAAAAACAGACAATTACAAGCAGGTGGCCAGCATACCTATAACATCTGCTTTGACATAATGGCAATGACTTTTTAAAAGATAACTTTTACCAGGAATTCACTTTTCGACAGCCAAATCTAGAGGAGCACCTTCAGAGTTCATGTGAACTATGCCAACTTCTCCGAACACATATATTCCAGAAACATAGCATTTTGAACTGGAAATATGTTAGATGAGGCCTTACAATTCACTAAAAACAGTTCAAACACGTAAGTATATTTTAGCAGCAGGATAGAAACTCTTATTTTCACAGAAGACCAATGACCAACTTAAAGGGAAAAAATGGGTAGCAAACCAAACACCTTCAAGGCTCTGCTTTTTGTGACATGTCATTTATGAGGAACCCATTTCATAGAAATGTTGCCAGGACAAAAAGTTATGATTTGCTAGTAGACAAAGCTAGGCTCATGTTACAATGGAGGGTGAAAGTCAGCTGTGAATCTTCCCTCTATTTTACAACATGCACATATATATACAAGCATGCACGCATGCACACACGGAGCTGGCTGCACTCTTTCTTTGCTTGGGTGACTATGTCTTGTCTTTGCAATACTAGTGTTCTTCCACAGAGCACTACAAGAAGTTCTGATCTTTTTGCAGCTGCCTCCTTTACACACTACTCCTTTTTCTTTTCTTCTCCTGCACCTTGAAAGTTACCTCCTTTTAAAAGCCATTTTATAGCATGGGAGGAAGGGAAGTGCTACAGCACTTCAACTCAGGACCAAAGACAGTTCTTCATGAGTAGGGAATCTGCATTACTAGACCAGGAAAATTTAGAAGTGCTTTAGAAAATCAATAATTGACATTGATGTGTTTTTTTAAAAAAAGCACTTATGCCAAATCAATTGGATATATGGTGATAAAAATGTGGGAGGATTGCATCTTCAAAAATTATCTTGAAGGTATTTTTCAAGGCCACATCTCTCCACATGCATGACAGGGAACAGAGCAGTTTTAGGAAAACTTTTACGGCTTTGAAATAATGAATCAATTCAGACAGACTATACACTAGAAGGAAGATCAGGAACCTTACAACAAAATGTGTAATTCTCAGAAGTTCAGCTTTAATGGGCTGAAAATTAGGGTAAAATATGGGTTTGTACAACAGTACTGTTTTAATCATACCACACAACTATTGGTTACATATTTACTAGTCAACTCATTTCTTATAATCTGATGCATAAATGTCCAATCAGATTTTTATGAACAATGGTATGACTGTAAATATAAAGCATTGATATACCCATTAATGCAAGCAAAATAATTAAACAGAATCCATACAGTGTATAAACAATCTTGTTCAATAAAGTGATGGTACAAGTTTACAAGTGTAAGGAAATTGTTAAGCAGTAATCTCAGAACAGAAAATGACCCTATGGCTACAGGCAACAGCATATTCCTGGTTTTAGAAATCTGTACATCTTGCAGTATCACATTTTGTTTCATACTCATATCACTAATTCCTGACAGGCAATGGATATAAAAGGTAACTTTTCCAAATAACTGCCAAAAAAAGGATTTTCTCCCATCCTGAAGAATTGTTTTGGAGTAATAACCTCTAAACTGCTGATAACCGGGTCCTTGCTTGATTATTAGTGCATGTTAATTATGTCTTAAGAACACCTTTCATAGGAGACAGCAGTTAAAAAATCCCTTTTGACCTTGGCAAACAGTTGCAGCCTGCATGATAAATGCAGGAATTGACATCTAGGGTACCATTTATTTTACACATGAATCTCTTGGCATCTGAGTAATGCTCATCTCATGCAAAACTACTGGCTTGTTTCAGCACCTGCTCTCTATTCAGGCAAGGTCTTTGGCATAGATCTCCTTTGTTGCTGGAGGAATTTCTCAACTGTTTGGATAGTATTTCTTTTATGTCTAAATACAGGCAGTCCCAGAGTTACAAACATCTGACTTACAAATGACTCATAGTTAAGAATGGGGTGAGACAACAGGGAGTGAGAGAAATCTACTCCTAGGAAGGTAAATTCACTCTTGAAAGAATTATCATGGGGAAACAGTATCTCCACTGAAGCTTTCTCACCAATCCTTGTTTCCACAACAAGCAATTTTTTTCAAAATCCAATTCTCAGAGGGATGGAAAGTGAGGTGGAATCTTCTGAACAGAGACACAGGCAGGGGTTTTAACCCTTTCCTATACTATCCAAAGGATGCATATGTGTTTGTGTGTGTATGTGTGCATGTGTATAAAATCTGGAGCTGCGCTTAAAAATGTACATGTTCCAACTGCCTTATTTGTTTGTACTACTAAATTATTTGTTTTTCTATTACAGTAGAATCTTGCTTATTCAACATAAATGGGCCAACAGAACGTTGGATAAGCGAAAATGTTGGATAATACGGAAGGATCAAGGAAAAGCCTATTAAACGTCAAATT